ACCTGCCTCTCTGCTTGCTTGTGATCTCTTTCTCTCTGTGTCAAATAAATAAATAAAATCTTAAAAAAAAAAAAGATGGAATTCTCTGAATATATCTGTGAAGTCCATCTGGTCCAGTGTGTCAATCAGAGCCCTTATTTCCTTGTTGATCTTCTGCTCAGATGATCTCTCCATTGCAGTGAGTGGGGTGTTAAAGTCCCATACTATTAATGTATCATTGTTGGTGTGTTTCTTTAATTTTGTTATTAATTGGTTTGTATAGTTGGCTGATCCCATTTTAGGGGCATAAATACTTACAATTGTTAGATCTTCTTATTGAATAGACCCTTTAATTATGATATAGTGTCCTTCATCATATCTTATTACAGTCTTTGGTTTAAAATCTAATTTGTCTGGTATGCCTAGGTGGCTCAGTCATTGAGTATCTGCCTTCAGCTCAGGTCGTGATCCCAGGGTCATGGGATCAAGCCCCTCATCAGGCTCCGTGTTCTTCGGGAAGCCTGCTTCTCCTTCTCCCACACCCCCTGCTTGTGTTCCTTCTATCACTGTCTCTTTCTGTCAAATAAATAAAAAATCTTTTAAAAAAACTAATTTGTCTGATGTAAGGATTGCCACAGCAGCTTTTTTTTTAATGTCCATTAACATGATAAATGGTTTTCCACCCCCCCACACACACTTTAAATCTGGAGGTGTCTGTGAGTCTAAAATGAGACTCTTGCAGATAGCATGTTGATGGGTCTTGCTTTTTTATCCAAACTGATACCTGTGTCTTTGATTGGGGCATTTAGTCCACTTACATTAAGAGTAATACACTGAAAGATATGAATTTATGTCATTGTATTACTTCTAAAGTCACTGTTTCTGTGTATTGTCTCTGTTCCTCTATGGTCTATGTTAATTTTGGGCTCTCTCTTCACTTAAGGATCCCTTTTAATATTTCTTGCAGGGCTGGTTTAGTAATCACATATTTTTTTAGTTTCTGTTTGTCCTGGAAGGCTTTTATCTCTCCTTCAATTTTGAATGACACCCTAGCTGAATAAAGTATTCTTGCCTTCATATTTTTCTCATTTAGCACCCTGAATATATCATGCCAGTCTTTCCTGGCCTGCCAGGTCTCTGTGGATAGGTCCGCTGCTTGTTTAATATTTTACCTGTGTAGGTTACAGACCACTTGTCCCAAGCTGCTTTCAGGGTTTTCTCTTTGTCTCTGAGATTTGCAAGTTTCACTATTATATGTTACGGTGTTGACCTATTTTTATTAATTTTGAGGGGCACTCTCTGTGCCTCCTGGACTTGAATGCCTGTTTCCTTCTCCAGATTGTGGAAGTTCTCTGCTCAGAATTTGCTCCCATATACCTTCTGCCCCCCCTTTCTTTCTCCTCTTCTTCTGGGGTCCCAATTATTCTAATATTGTTTTGCTTTATGGTACCACTTCTCTCTCAAATTCTCCCCTCGTGATCCATTAGTTATCTCTCTTTTTCTTAGCTTCTTTATTCTCCATCATTTGGTTTTCTATATCACTAATTCTCTCTTTAGCCTCATTTATCGTAGCAGTAAGAGCCTCCATTTTTTTATTGCACCTCATTAATAGCTTTTTAAATTTTGGCTTGATTAGATTTTAGTTCTTTTATTTCTCCAGAAAGGGCTTCCCCAATGTCTTCTATGCTTTTTTCAAGACCAGCTAGTATCTTTATAATTGTTATTCTGAACTTTAGTTCCAACATTTTAGTTATATCCGTACTGATTAGGTCTCTGGCAGTCAGTATTGCCTCTTGTTCTCTTTTCTGAGGTGAGTTTTTCTGTCTTGCCATTCTGTCCAGGGAAGAATAGATGAACAAGAGAACAAAATACTAAAATGACTACAACAAGCCCAGAGAACTATATACCAAACAAATTAGAAAAGACCCAAAATGAAAAAAAAATTAAATTAAATTTTAAAAAGAGTGAGAATATAGGGCACCTGGGTGGCTCAGATAGTTGGGCGTCTGCCTTCGGCTCAGGTCATGATCTCCAGGTCCTGGGATGGAGCCCCACATCATGTTATCACGCTTCTGGCTCAACAGGGAGTCTGCTTGCTTCTCCCTCTGCCTCTCCCCCTGCTCATGCTCTCTGTCTCTCTCTCTAATGAGTAAATAAAATCTTTTAAAAAAGAGAGAGAGAGAATATAATCAGACAGGTTGAACAGAACAGAGTAATACACTGGATCCTGTGTGTATTTTGGCCTATTTGTTAGAAAACTAGTTCCCAAAATTGTAAGGAAACAAACAAACTAAGTACTGTGAAGTGTGTAAACCTGGCAATTCACAGACCTGTACCCCTGGGGCTAATAATACATTATATATTAATTTAAAAATAATTTTAAAAAACTTATATATGTACAAAAATAAAGTTAAATACAGTGAAAGGATAGAATGTAACTATAAAAATGAAAATTAAAGGACAGAAAAAAAGAATATAAACAGACGGTTGAACAGAACAGAGCAATACGCTATATCCTGAGTATTTTGGTTTGTTTGTTAGAGGAAACTACATCTCAAAATTGTAAAGAAAGGAAAACTTATATATGTATATAGATAGATATATAAAATAAAATAAAATACATTGAAAGAATAGACTATAAATGTAAAAATGAAAGTTAAAAAATATTTTTAAAAGGGAGTTGGTGGGGCACCTGGGTGGCTCAGTGGGTTAAAGCCTCTGCCTTCAGCTCCGGTCATGATCCCAGGGTCCTGGGATCGAGCCCTGCATCAGGCTCTCTGCTCAGCAGGGAACCTGCTTCCCCCACCCCCCCCACCTGCCTCTCTGCCTACTTGTGATCTCTATCTGTCAAATAAATACATAAAATCTTTAAAAATAAATAGATAAACAAATAAATAAAAGAGTTGGTAAAATAAGAAATTGGTTGAAAAAGGAAAGAGAAAAAAATTAAATTCAAAGATTAAAGAATCATGGGATTCTTTAACCATTCAAACCATGAATTCTATATACTATATTTTTCCCCTAGTGCTGGAGTTTTACAGTTCTTTATGATCAATAAACTTGGTCTTATCTTCTTCTTCTTTTTTTTTTTTAGAGATTTTTATTTATTCATTTGAGAGAGAGAGAGAGAACACAAGCAGGGGAAGAGGCAGAGGGAGAAGCAGACTCTCCGCTAAGCAGGGAGCCCAACACAGAACTTGATCCCAGGACCGCAGGATCATGACCTGAGTTGAAGGCAGACACTTAACCATCTGAGCCACCCAGGTGCCCCGGTCTTATCTTATTCTTTTTATTTATTTTTTTGTTTATTATTAGTCTCACTTCAAGATTGAACTGCATGAGGAGGGGAACCCCACTTCTCTGGCTCACTCGTGGATCCCCATTACCTAGTCCAGGGTTTGGCACATGGCAAATCCTCAATAAACAGTTGCTGAAAAAATTCAGTAACATATAAGCCAATGAATATTTTCGTATTAACTTAATAGACTCTAAAGAACCACAAAAGTCATCTGACCTTATCTTTTTCATCATTTCCCATCCAAGTACTAACCAAGCCCGACTCTGCTTAGCTTCCGACATCAGACGAGATCGGGCGTGTTCAGGGTGGTATGGCCGTAGACCTTTTTCATCATTTCAAACTTGCTTCAATACCATCAGGGGCCTGGAGCTCACTACTTCCTAAAACCCTTCCAGACTTTGGATAAGTCTGGGTATTAGAAAGGTCTTTCTAAAATCAATTATTCCCCACCCCCAACCTAGAGATAAAGAAGGCTTGTTCTGGGCTGGGGTGGAAGTCAAAGGGATTGGGCATTTTTTTTTGAGCCCTTAAAGTGCCAGGCACAGTGTTAGGTGCTTTCCATTAATCATCTTCTTTGATCATCTCAATAACCCTAGGAAACGGTGTCATCCCCATTTCACAGATGAGAAAGCTGACGTTCAGAGAGATGAGGTGACTTATTAAATGTCATGTCGCCTCTAGAGCTGAAATTTGAGAATTACACTATAGAATTGGAATCCAAATCTAGATTTATCTCATTCCCTAATTCATTCCCTTTATTTCAGTTTGAAGAAGAGAAAAAAAAAATCAATTGTCCCAATTAAAAAGTGTAGTAGAAGCAAAGGCTAGAAGTAAAAGCAAACATATTAATTGATCTGTTTGTCAAAACCGCATGCACTGGGGCACTTGGGTGGCTCAGTCATTAAGTGTCTGCCTTCGGCTCCGGTCATGATCCCAGGGTCCTGGGATCAAGCCTGGCATAGGGCTCTCTGCTCAGTGGGAAGCCTGCTTCTCCCTCTCCCACTCCCCCTGCTTTTGTTCCCTCTCTCACTGTGTCTCTCTCTGTTGAATAAATAAAATCTTTAAAAAAAAACCAACAACAACAAACCTCATGCACTTAGTAGCTACCTCACTCCTTAGTAGCTATGCCATCTTGTAAAGATGGCAAAATCAAATATAATTGCCAAGTGTCTCTATTCCTTGCTCTAGATCATGAATACATAGAAAGCTGACTGCTTACAAAATACAAAAAAGGGTCACTCTTTTTTTTTTTTTAAGTTCAAGGAGTTGTTTTATTGTTTCACTGACAGAATAGTAATAACAGGCAGAGAATCCCCCAAGGAAATGATGGTCATGTTTCATTGTTGTTTGCCCTCTGCTCTTTCATCTTCTAAGCATTTACTATTTTTCATTTACAGATATTAGACATTTATTTTTATCACGAATGCATGATAAAAAAGCGTGAATACATAAATGCATTATCTTTTAACATCTGCCCCCACCATGTTCCTTTAAATAGAAAAAAGACCTAAGCATCTCTTCAAAGCTTATGTGGCCATAGCTGTCCCACCTATGGTTTTAAAAATAGACCATAATTTACCTTCTGAAATCCTTTCTTGAACTACAGCTCATTCTGTTAAAGAAATCATGGGAAAGAAGTCCTATTGATATTGTCGATAGACTCCAAAAGGTGAGGATGGTAACTGGGCAGAAGGCAACTGAGAGGGGTCTTCAGCAAACTGAGGACCATTGGGAAATCATGCAGAGATAAATCTTATCAACAAGATACCAGGTCCTATAATTAAAGCTAGAATGCCACCCATCACTGCTGACCCAACCATGGCCACTGATCCATCTCTTGCTGCCAGTATGGCTCCTGTTAAGGCAACACTTGTGATGGAGTTCCAGGAATCTTTCCCTCCGACTTGAACCATAATGCAGTCAGTCATGAAAAATAAATCTCCACAAACTGCAAAGCTACCTCTCAACTGTGGAACCCTGGTTTTAATAGCTGTGAAACTCCCTTGTAGTCTGTGGTTTACTTCCATTGGAGAATTGTGAAAACCTTTGAGTGGTTGAAAGATACCACCAACTGTGGTATCCATGGTAAAGACCCCACCACAGTCATCCACAATTCGCTCTCACATATATTCCTCCATCTTGAGTCCACCCAAAAACAAAAATAAAAACAAAAAACCCTTTTTAAAAAGTTTTTATTAAAATTCCAGTTGGTTAACATATGATATAATATTAGCTTTAGGTGTACAATACACAGATTCCACACTTCCATACAACACCTGGTGCTTAGCCAGCAAATGTACTCCTTAATCCCATCACCATTTCCCCCATCCCCCATTCCCCTCCTCTCTGATAACCATTAGTTTGTTAAAAGAGGGTATACTTTGGGCGCGCCTGGGTGGCTCAGTGGGTTAAAGCCTCTGCCTTTGGCTCAGGTCATGATCTCAGGGTCCTGGGATCAAGCCCCGCATCGGGCTCTCTGCTTGGTGGGGAGCCTGCTTCCTCCCTCTCTCTCTCTGCCTACTTGGGATTTCTGCCTATCAAGTAGATAAATAAAATCCTTAAAAAAAATAAAAAATAAAAGAGGGCTACTTCTTTAAAAAAAGAAAAAAAGAGGGTCACTTCTATTCGACATCGTACTGGAGGTTTAGGGCAATTAAGCAAGAATATAAAAGAAAAAGCATCCGTATTAGAAAAGAGAAAGAACTATTCTATTTGAAGACAACATGATTTTATATATAGAAGATGCTAAAAAATCCACACACATAAAAATTAACTGCTAGAGGAAGGTTGTGGATGCAAGACTAATATAAAAAATCAATTGCATTTCTACATATTAGCAATGAACAATCCAAAAATGAAATTAAGAAGACAATTCCACTTATAATAGTACCAAAAAGAACAAAATACTCAGGAATAATTTTTTTAAAAGATTTTATTTATTTGAGAGAAAGAGAGAACATGAGCAGGGAGAAGGGCAGAGAGAGAGAGAGGAGGACAAGCAGACTCCATGCCGAACAGGGAGCCTGATGTGGAGCTGGATCCCAGGACCCTGAGAACACGGCCTGAGCAGAAGGAAGATGCTTAACAGACTGAGCCACCCAGGCACTCCTCAGGCTTAAATTTAACCAAAGAAGTATAAAATTTGCACTCTGAAAAACTGTTGAGAAAAATTAAAGAAGACCTAAAGAAATGAAAACATATCCTGTGTTTATAGAATGTAATATTTAATACTGTCAAAATAGCAACAATCCCCAAATTAATCTGCAGATTAAACATAATCCCTATCAAAATTCCAACTGCCTTTTTTTTTTTTTTGCAGATGTGAACAAGCTGATTCTAAATTTCATCTAGAAATATAAGAGACCCAGAAGAGCCAAAACAATCTTGAAAAAGAATAAAGTTGGAGGACTGACACTACCCGATTTCCAAGATACAAAGCCATAGTAATCAAGACAGTGTGATACTAGCAAAACAAAAGACAAAGATTGAATAGAATTGAGAGTCCAAAAATAAACCCTTACAATTGGCAGTTGATCAATTTTGACAAGGGTTGTAGACCATAGGAGAAAGAAGTCTTAAACAAATGGTGCTTAGAAACTGTGTATCTGGGGCGCCTGGGTGGATCAGTGGGTTAAGGCCTCTACCTTCGGCTCAGGTCATGGTCCCAGGGACCTGAAATTGAGCCCCGCTTAGGGCTCTCTGCTCAGCGGGGAGCCTGCTCCCCCCACCCCCGCCCCGTCTGCCCGCCTCTCTGCCTGCTTGTGATTTCTGTCTGTCAAATAAATTAATAAAATCTTAAAAAAAAAAAAGAAACTGTGTATCTACATGAAAAAGAACAAATTTGAACTCTACCTCCCATCATATACAAAAGCAAACTCAAAATAGATCAAAGACTTAAATGTAAGAGCTAAAACTATAGAATGCTTAAAAGACAACATAGGAATAAATCTTCATGACTTTGGATTAGGTTTCTGAGATATGATAACAAGCACAAGCAATCAGAGAAAATTCAGACTGTTGAAATTAAAAACTTTTGTGCTTCAGGGGCACCTGGATGGCTCAGTCAGTTGAGTGTCCAGCTCTTGATTTTGGCTCTGGTCATGATCTCAGAGTCCTGGGACTGAGCCCTGGGTCAGTCCCCACACTCAGTGGGGAATCTGCTTAAGGCTTTCACTTCCTTTCCCTCACCTCTTCCCCACCTCAAATAAATAAATAAATAAATCTTTAAAAAAATAAAAAGAGCAAAGAGTTGAATCAACATTTCTCCAAAGGAGTTAAACAAATAGACAAGTACATAAATAGATGCTCAACATCAACTGTCCTTAGGGAACAGCAAACCAAATATACAATGAGATACCACCTCATACTCATGAGGATAGGAATAATTTTTTAAAATCTGAAAATAACAAATATCAGCAAGAATGTGTAGAAATTAGAGCCCTCACATATTGCTGATGGGAATATAAAATAGTGTAGGCACTGTGGAAAGCATTTTGTCAGAAAGTTAAACATAGAGTTACCATATAACTGAGCATTTCTACTCCTATGTTTATACCCAAAAGAATTGGAAAATTATATATCCACACAAAACTTATGTGTAACCACACAAAAACTTGCACATGGTTGTTCACAGCAGCATTATTATGGCCAAAAAATGGAAACAACCCAAATGTCCATCAACTAATAAATAGATCAACAAAATATGGTGTACACATACAATGGAATATTATTCAGCATTAAAAGCAATGGAGTAGGGGCGCCTGGGTGGCTCAGTGGGTTAAAGCCTCCGCCTTCGGCTCGAGTCGTGATCCCGGGGTCCTGGGATCGAGCCCTGCATCAGGCTCTCTGCTCAGTGGGGAGCCTGTTTCCCTCTCTCTCTCTCTGCCTGCCTCTCTGCCTACTTGTGATCTCTGTCTGTCAAATAAGTAAAATCTTAAAAAAAAAAAAAACCAATGGAGTAATGGGGCACTTGGATGGCTCAGTCAATTAAGCATCCAAATCTTGATCTCACCTCAGGTCTTGATCTCAGGGTCATGAGTTCAAGGCCTGCATTGGGCTCCATGCTGGGCATAAAGCGTATTTTTTTTAAAAAGCAACGAAGTATTGATGTATGTTGCAACATGGATAAACCTTGAAAACATTATGGTAAATGCAAGAGCACATACTATGTTATTCCATTTATATGAAAAGTCCAGAATAGGCAAATCTATAGAGACAGAAAGCAAGTTAGTGGTTTCCAAGGGCTGAGGTACAGGGTTTCTTTTTGGATGATGAAAATGTGCTGGAATTGGATAGTGGTGATGATTGCACTTGTGAATACACTAAAAACCACTGAATTTTACACATTAAAATGACGAATTTTATCATATGTGAATTTTTTCTCAATTTAAAAAATGCAAAAGAGCGAGGCTGCCAGTAGAGTAAGAGCAGGTGGGCAGAAATTCCATTTGGATGCCAGGTGGTGTCTCTTGGCAAGCTAGTCTTGTTTGGTAGTGTCCAATGCAGGTCCCTATCCTCCTCAGCCAAGTGGCTCCACTTCAGCTGCCACTTAAGATTTTTGTATGAATAAGGGGTTCCCCAGCTAAAAAAGAGTTAAGCCCTTGGCCCAACTGATCAACTGCAAAGAAGTTTCTCTCCGACTTCTAAGCTCCAGACTTGCAGAATGTTAGTATGAGGAGAGGCTGGGGAGTCAAAACATCAACAGAAGCCAGTGGCCCAGACAAGGGTTGGAGTGTCACAAACAGTGCTGGTGGCTGGAACCCAGCCTTCTGGCACAGTGTCTGCTAACAAGGATCCCTCTGGCTCTTTCTGATCTCAGGGGAGCATTGACATATTGGAGAGGTTTAGTTTCATTCATAAGCCTTGACTGAGCATGTTCTGGCTCTTACCCCAGACGGCCTCAGGTGGCTCAGACACAGGATGTGAAAACATGCTCAGTCCCTGACAGTTCTGCTCCCCTCTCTTGGACCGAGCTGAGATCTTGGGTACACTGTCTCTCAAAGGACAGCAAGACAGCAGCAGGGGAGCAGATTTTAGCCTGGGGGAAGGAGGGAAGGCAGGAAAACTAGTGACTATTGGGCACATATATTGGGTCAGAAACACAAGAACATGCACATATATGATTTAACTTCCTCCTTACTGACTCCTTTAGCAGTAGGTGAAGGGACTTGTTCCAGGTACTTGGAGCTATTATGCTATAGAACTGAGATTTGAACCCAGGATCATCTGATTTGAAAGTCTGTGCTCTGAAGAAGCTGGAAGTTCACCTAGAGTTTTTCACCTAGGCCCCTCCATTGGACCGTTTCTAGCTCCCACTGTTGGCACATTACTTGCTCATTCATTCATTCATTCATTCGTCCTGTAATTTTCCCTGAGTAGGCATTTGGTGCCACATAATGCATTAGGCAACAGACACACAAACCTGAATACCTGAATAAAGTGTAGGCCCTGTCTTCAAGGATTTATAACGTATTGGGAGCTAAGCCTAGACTGAGACATAAGACCAGAGGCTGAGGTAATTATACCACCAAGGGAGGCCCTATGGTGGTTTGGCCAAATGGCAATTGGTTTTAAAACGAGAATGAGAATTCAAGGTTTGGGGCAATAGGGGCAAATATATGGCTAATTCTCTACCCAGCCCCCACCCTGTCCTGTAGATGTGTGGGGTGCGGGAGAATGAGCAGCCACCATCAGAGAGAGCTGAGGGGGAAGTGGTATTCTAGGGCATGGCTTCTACTCTGCCACAGCAGGAAGTGGGGGAAGGGCTTGCTGAACAGGCCAAGGCTTAGGGGAGTTTACTTCTATAGGACTTTGGTTTGGAAGGGTTCAGTCAGAAGGGTCTTTGGGAAGGGGGCAGTGGGTGCTAGAGTGAATTTGGGAAGAAGAATGTAGATCAGAGTGGTCAGGAATGATGGGGTGAGAGAGAAGGGATTGAAGTATTATAGTCCCGACTGAAAGTACAGGGTAATTACATTTCATACTCAGGTTTCTGAGGCTATTTTCGGTACAGGAAACAAACTATCATGTTTGCTCAGGGTACCAAATAGAACATGGGGGAAATTTGTTGGGAAGTGCAAGAGGGAAAATCAGCCTCAACTCAGGCTGGAAGCCACTAGTACTGTTTAAACTATGGGAGGAATTTAGCCTGGAGTAGAGGAGAAGGGAGGTGGCTACCAGGTTTAACCCAAAGCTTGACTTCTATTTGGTTTTTCTTATCCTATTAGCTGCAAACAGGTCTGTTCATTTTGTGAGTACTTCCTCCTCTTCAAACTCATGTCCCCTCTTGCCGCTTCCCGTTAATATGTGGTTTAACAGAGAAGTGGCATGGTGCTATAGAAAGAATTTGGAATACAGTATCCCTCACTATAGAATCTAGTCACTCAAAGTCCCACTTCCATAGCCAGTCAGGGATAGAAGCAGCCAGAATCAGAATGCAGGATTTAGAACTCCCATTTTCCCATCCTTCACTGCATTATCATATAATGCGGAGTCTGACTTCCTTAGCGTCCCTGAGCTTCAGTTTCCTTAAAAACATCTACTTTATAGTAGTTGTAAAGATTAAATGACATGTGAAACCCATAATACAATGCCTGGCCATGGAGTGCCCCTAAGATTTTTTTTATTATTACAGGCAAAAATTACCAGGCCCTCTGGCTTGATGCTCAGATGAATATCTCATTATACATGTTATAGGCTGAACATATGAAATTCCTATATTGAAATCCTTACCCTCACTATCTCAGAATGTGATGTATTTGAAGGTAGAGTCTTTAAAAAGAAGTCTGTAAATTGGGCCTTAGTCCAGCATGATTAGTGTCCCTACAGGAAGAGGACATTTTGACACAGACATGTACAGAGGGAATATCATGTGAAGACACAGTGAGAAGATGGCTATCTACCAGCAAAAAGAGAGATCTCAGAAAAAACCCAACCTTTGATCTTGGACGTCTAGCCTCCAGAACTGCAAGAAAAGTAATTTCTGTTGTTTAGGCCAGTCAGTCTGTGGCACTTTGTGATGGCAGCCCTAGCAAACTAATACAACACATACATCGTACCCTTTTAACTGGTGGACAAAAGCTCCCTCATTTTGCTTCTTGGCCTGTAGTGCTATGCTCTCCAACTCAAACAGTCAGCTAAAAGCCCCAAAGGTGCTGGTGTCACTGGGTTGGCCATGCTGTCTTGGACTGGGTGTTGCTCCCTTGGCTCTTGGCTGCTAAGAGGAAGTCATGTGAGAAAGCAAGACTTGCCCTTCCGAAGTGCCTGGTGACTTTCTGACTAGAGGTGCTTGTGGTGGTGGAACTAGCAAGAGACTGTCTCATGCATCAGGGTCCATTCCCCGGGTGCTTTCATGCTGCATGGGGAGGGAAGACAACTGGGTGTACGATTTGGGTGAAGCAATGGGGGAAAAGGGCTGCGTCTGTGGTGACCCTGGTGTCCTCCAGGACAGTAGAGAAAGAGGACAGAGGAGAAAGAAGGGGTCTGAGGTGGGAGGAAGAAGAAGAGGCGCCTGATGTGAATCGCGGGGCACTTTCCTCCGCCAGAAGTAGCGAACTGCGTCTGTGGATCAGCAGGGTCTGGAATCCCGATCTTTTGCGGGGTACCGTTTGCCTGGAGGCTCTGGGACCACCGCACGAAGCCCCCCACAGCCTTTTGCCCGGCTGGCTGTCCTGGGCGACAGGGCAGTGTGAACAGGCGCGTGCGCACCCGACACGTCCTCGGGGCACTGCCCCCTCCGGGCGCGCGCCCGCCCCCGCCCCACCCCGTCCCGCCCCCCGCCGGGCCCCGCTGACCGGGCGCCCGGGGCCGCGCACGCCCCCTCCGCGAGCCGGGACCCTGGGCCGCGCGAGCCCCGTGCCCCCTCCCCGCCCGGCGGGCGCGCGCGCTGCCTCCCGCTCCCGCTCCCGCTGGCAGCGGCGGCGGCGGCGGCGGGGATTGTTTTTGTTGTCGCTGAGGCCGGAAGAGCCGCGGGAGCCGGGTCCCTGTCCCTGGGCCGGGCGCCGCCGCCGCCCCCTGCCCAGCGCCCGCGTCTCCGCGGCGCCCCCACCCCCAGCGCCAATATTCCGGAGATCAAGCGATACGCGGCGGCGGCGGCGGCGGCGGCGGCGGCGGGGCCCGGAGCGGGAGGCACCGGGGACCGGGGCGAGGCGGCCCCCGCCGCCGCCATGGAGGCGCTGGGACCGGGTGAGGAGCGCGCTCGGGCCGGGGCTGGCTGCGGCCCCGGGACTGGTGGGCGGGTGAGCGGGCGGGCGGGTCGCTCCGGGTCTCCCCCATCGGCCCTTGCTTACCTGGGTTCGGGCCGTAAGGCGTTGGGGGAAGGGGATCCGTGCCCCGTAGCACAAGGCGAAGGGAGCTGACCTGGGCTTTGGGGGGCGGAGACCGCGCTCCAGCCTGGAGAGATGAGGCACCGCTTGAGGTCTAAGGGAGGCAGGCCTAGGATGGTGACCCCCAGCCCCAAGTAGACGGGAGACCTAACTCAACCTCGGGGAGGTCGTCTGTGCTTCAGGGTTGAGGCAGGCGAGTTTGGGCCTCAGAAGGAATGATCTGGGCCGGGTGTTCAACTGAGGACTGGCCTGGACTGGACCGAGAAGGACCCCCTCCTACTACCAGGGGTATTCTTGGCATGGGGCCACACCCGTATTTTTCTTTGCACTGGTAGACGGTCCAAAGCCCTCAAATAAGGAAGAAGAACTTCCCCCCAAAGACTTCTCATGACCCCCAAAGGCCAAGGGGCAAAGTACCCACCCTTTCTCGAAGGCCCTGAAGTCTCGAGAAATACGTCTGTCAGTCTGTGCAACAGTCCCAGAGGCTGTGGCCTTAGTGACAGGCAAGTTACCAGAGAGCCCATTCTAGTACAGGCTTTAATGCCCTGAGTTCTCTTCTAACTGGGTTTTAGGTGGTTGTGAGGATTAAATGAAGGTGAAAGTGCTTTGGAAACTGTAATTCCCCATCTTCATGAATGACCTCTGTTTATCTCTCCCAGTCGGCCCAAGCCTGAGGAACCTTTCCAGTTTGTAGCAAATGCTCTGCAGGTTGGGAAGCTGGTGCTCCCTCCTCAAACCCCAACAGGTTTCTAATGCCTTGGCTAAGTAGGGCAGGGTTTAGAGGCTATGATAGAATTAACTTTAGTATCAAACCTTATCTACATAGTGGACTTAGTTGTAGAGCATTTCATTTTTTTAGTATGTAGAAAATTCAGTTTACCATTTGAGTTTGGAAACTGCAGGTTTGTTTACTTAGAACTCCTTTACAAAACTGAATGATTAAAGCCCACCTTAATTTGCTGCCTAAAGTATTTTTTAAAGGCCCCCATAATCAACTTTCATATGCCTTTTAAAAATAAATTGGCTTTGTGATATTAATATTGTTTGATAAACCTGAATCTGAGTATTATACTGGGTTACTTCAGCTATGTCCCCCAGCCACAGGCATGATCATGTCCTTAGGAATGTAACAGATTTCTGTTCAAATCCAAGCTAGTCATTTAATAGTTGTATAACCTTGGGCAAATTACTTAATTCCTTTGAACTTTCATTTCCTCATCTGTAAAATGAGGGTAATAATAATTATGTGCTGCAAGATTGTTGTGAGAATGAAATGAGATAATGCATATGAGGAGTCTTATTGTGGAAACTAATGCATTGTAGATATTCAACAAATGTTTCTTCTTCCCTCCCTGTTAGTAATCCATAATTGAAGCAACTGTTGCATTTATGAGCTGCTGCTGGAAGAGACTATGTAACTAACTGTGTATACAAACTGAATGTCATGGAAAAGATCAACCTGGTAGTTAGGAACCTCCTAGGGACTTTTTTTGGGGGGGGGTGATTTTAGCTTTTGCAGATTTGAAGACCTAGCTCACTCAGGATTGTGGTAAATTAATTCTCACTAAGCACAGTTTTAAGACATGAATGTATAAATCGAAATATCACATAGATCTTTTCTGCTAACTAGAATATTTTCTTTCTGCTGTCTAGCAAACCCCTTTTCAGGTGTCACAGTATCTTGGAAACCCAGTTAATAATAAGCTGCTTGCTGAGCATAGAATTGGAGCAAAGGGAGTTGATAGTCTTGTGGGATATTTTATCCAGGCTGTTTTAGAACTTACAGAAGCATTTCAGCTTTGTTGAAGCACACCAGTCTAGTGCTTTGTGCCCTCCTCAGTTGAATAATCACTAATGCATTCCTGGTCTTTCTGTGCTCTCTTCTTACCCCATTTTGGTTTCTGACTATAATAACTTAGAAATATAGTTAGTCAGATTACCATTTATTTTGGCTATATTAATGATAACTTTTATTTTTACAGTGCTTAACAGTTTGGAAGGTGCTTTCATAGCTCTTAACTCATTTGAACTTCTGCGAGGTAGGCAAGGTAGCATTAGCCCCATTTTACAGATGAGTACAGAGATTCAGAGAGCTTAAGTGACTTCTTCAAGATCTCAAGGCTGAGTGGTGAAACGCAGATGAGTCTGGGTCATCTGACCCCTAGTCTGTTGCCCTCTTCTTCATTTAAGACTGACTTCATCCAATTGGTGTAAAGTAATATTTGTTTCCTTTTCAGAAGATATAATTTTCTGACTTTCTCACCAACTTTTGGAGATATGCCCATTATAAAGCCCAGGGACTTTTGAGCACTGACTATAACATGTATGCAAGTATAGTCGCAACAGCTAACATTTATTGAGCACTTACTATTATGAGGCACTGTGTTAAGCTTTATGTGTACGTTATCTCATGGGATCCTGACAATTGCTTTATGAAGTAGATGCTATTATTACCACACCTCCCATCTTTTATAGATGAGGAAACTGAGGCACACAGTGACTAAGAAACAGGCCCAAGGTCATGCAGTTAAGGACTGGTAAAACCGTGATTGAAACCTACACAGTTTGGTTCAGCCTTAGCCATTGTGCTTTATTTCCCTGTAACTAGTTTGCTGAATTCAAAGAAACCAGCCTTTGGAAAATTTTAGATCATAGTTTTCTAAATAAATCTCCTAAACTTACTCAAAGAAATGACCACTTGCCTTCTAGCTTTTCTCTCTTACCAAAGAAACGGCACACAGTACTTACCTTTCTCCATTAATCCCACTTCTTTTATTTCCTTTGCCTCGATCCTTTTGGCATCAAATACTTCACAATCCTAAGGCATCTATATATCTCTGAAGTACATTGGGAAAGAAAAAGCACCGGGCTGGGAATTAGGAAACCTAAATTCTAGGGGTACCTGCGAGGCTCAGTCGTTAAGCGTCTGCCTTCAGCTTAGGTCATGGTCCCAGGGTCCTGGGATTGAGCCCTGCATCAGGCTCCCTGCTCGGTAGGAAGCCTGCTTCTTCCTCTCCCACTCCCCCTGCTTGTGTTCCCTCTCTTGCTGTGTCTCTCTCTGTCAAACAAATAAATAAAATCTAAAAAAGAAAAAGAAAAAAGAAACCTAAATTCTAGTCAGAATTTAAAATCAAAGCCCTATCATTTGCTCCACATTTCTGTTTCTGAATTTCTATCATAAAGCTGGATTTATGATACAGTGATTGTTTAAATGTACCTTCGACTATGCGGGGCTAACTTGTCTATATGGTTTAATTGGGTTAATTTAGTATGCCTGTCATCTCTGATATTATTTATTACTTACCTCTTTCCTCGTTTTTAAATGTCTGACCACGCCCAGAGTAGATCCCTTATATACCAGAAGTGGAACTCAATTCCAAGCAACCATATTTTTAGTATAAATCATGTACTTTTGCTTAAGTGAAAAATAATAGTCAATTCTTGGGTTTTAGGAATGACTGTGTTTCTCTTTAGTCTTTATCTGAAGCTGCTACAAAGATGACAGGTACAGGCATACCTTGGGGATATTGCGGGTTCAGTTTGCACCACTACAATAAAGCAAATATCAACAATAAAGCAAGCCCAGTGAATTTTTTGGTTTCTCAGTACATATAGAACTTGGGTTTACACGATACTATATTCTCAGTATGCAATAGCATTATGTCTAAAAAATAAACATACCTTAAGTAAAAATCCTTTATTGCTAAAAAGTGCTAACCATCATCTGGGCTTTCGGTGAGTCATGATCTTTTTGCTGGTGGGGGCTCTTTCTTTGATGTTGATGGCTGCTGACAGATCAGGGTAATGTTGCTGAAGTTTGAGGTGGCTACAGCAACTTCTTAAAATGAGACAATGATGAAGTTTCCCACATCAATTGACTCTTCTTTTCACGAATGATTTCTCTGTAGCATGCAGTGATGTTTGATAGCATTTTACCTGCAATAGAACTTCTTTCAGAATTGGAGTCTGTCCTCTCAAACCTTGTCACTGTTTATCAATGGGGTTTGTACATTCTAGGTGCTTTGTGGTCAGTTCAACAATCTTCACAGCATCTTCACCAGGAATAGATTCTGACTCAAGAAACCACTTTCTTTGCTCATCTACCAAAGCAACTCCTCATCCCTTAAAGTTTTACCACGAGGTTGCAGTCCTGCAGTCGCATCTTCAGGCTCCACTTCTAATTCCAGTTCTCTGGCTGTTTCTACAACATCTGCAGCTACTTCCTCCACTGAAGTCTTAAACCCCTCACAGTCATCCAGGAGGGTTAGAATCAACTTCTTCCCAACTCCTGTAAATGTTGATATCTTGCCACTTCCCATGAATCATGAATGTTCTTTATGGCATCTAAAATGGTGACTCCTTTCCAGAAGGTTTTCCATTCTCTTTGCCCAGATCTATCAGAGGAAATCACTCTCTGTGATAGCTATAGTTTTACAAAATGTGTTTCTCAAATAATAAGTCCTGAAAGTTGAAGTTACTCCTTGATTTTTGGGCTGCAGCATGGATGTTGTGTTAGCAGGCATGAAAATGACACTAATCTTGTACACCTCTGTCAGAGCTTGTGAGTGACAAGGTACAGTGTTCCTGAGCAATAATATTTTGGAAGAAATCTTTTTTCCCAAGTAGTATGTCTCAACAGTGGGCTTAAAGTATTCAGTAAACCATGTTATACACAGATGTGCTGTCATCCAGTCCTTGTTATTTCATTCACACAACACAGGCAGAATGGATTTAGCATAAATCTTAAGGACCCTAGGATTTTCAGAATGAATATTGGCTTGAACTTAAAGTCACCAGCTGCATTAGCCATTAACAAGAATTGGTCTGTCCTTTTCACGCTTTGAACCCAGGCATTGACTTCTTCTCTCCAGCTATGAAAGTCCTAGATGATCTCTTCTTCCGATATAAGGCTGTTTCAACCACACTGAAAATCTGTAACCACCTTCATTAATTATCTTCACTAGACCTTTTGGATAACTTGCTGCAGCTTCTGTATCAGCATTTGCTGCTTCGCCTTGCACTTTTCTGTTCTAGAGACGGCTTCTTTCCTTAAACCTCATGAACCAATGTCTTCTAGCTTCAAACTTTTTCTTTCTCTCTCTCTCTCTCTCTCTCTCTTTTTTTAAGAGCATGTGCCAGAGAGCATAAGCAGGGGTTGAGAGGTAAAGAGACAGGGAGAGAAAGAATCTCAAGCAGGCTCCATCTCAGCATGGAGCCGGAGAAGACAGCGATTGGGGAGGCTTGATCTCAGGACTCTGAGCTCATGACCTGAGCCGAAATCAAGAGTGAGACGCCCAACAAACTGCGCCACCCAGGCACCCCCAGCTTCAAAGTTTTCTTGTCAGTTTCCTCACCTCTTTCAGCCTTCATAGAATTGAAGAGAATTAGGTCTTGCTCTGGGTTAGGCTTTAACTTAAGGAAGTTTGTGGCATATTTGATCTCTCCAGACCACTAAGACTTTCTCCATATCAGCCGTAAGGTTGTTTTGCTTTCTTATTGTTCATATGTTGACTGTAATAGCACTCTTAACTTCCTTCAAGAACTTTCCCATTGCATTCACAGCTTGGCTGACTGGCCCAAGAGGCCTACTTTCAACTTGTCTTGACTTTTTTTTTTTTTTTTTAAGATTTTATTTATTTATTTATTTGACAGAGATCACAAGTAGGCAGAGAGGCAGGCAGAGAGAGAGAGAGAGAGGAGGAAGCAGGCTCTCCGCCTAAGAGAGAGAGAGAGAGAGAGGAGGAAGCAGGCTCTCCGCTAAGCAGAGAGCCCAATGCAGGGCTCTGTCCCAAGACCCTGAGATCATGACCTGAGCTGAAGGCAGAGGCTTTAACCCACTGAGCCACCCAGGTGCCCCTTGTCTTGACTTTTGACATGCCTTCCTCACTAAGCTTAATCATTTCTGGCTTTTGATTGAAAGTGAGCCACATGTGACTCTTCCTTTCATTGAATACTTAAGGGCCCTTGTAGGGTTATTAACTGGCCTAATTTCAGTGTTGTAGTGTCTCAGGGAATAGGGATGCTTATGGAGAGGAAGAGAGGGGAATGGCCAGTCAGTGGCACAGTCAGAACACAAAACATTTATGGGTTAAGTTTATTGTCTCTTAGGGGTGCAATTCATGGTGCCCCAAAACATTTACAATAGCAACTCAAGGATCATTGATCACAGATCACCATAACAAATATAATAATAATGAAAAAGCTTCAAATATTGGGAGAATTACCAAAGTGTGACACAGAGACATGAAATGACCAAATGCTGTTTGAAAATAGCACCAATAGTCTTACTCAATGCAGGATTGCCACAAACCTTCAATTTGTAAAAAAAAAAAAAAAAATGCAATATCTGAAAAGCACAATAAAGCAAAGTGCAATTAAATGAGGTATGCCTGTATTTTTCAGTTCAACATTTATTGAATTCCTACAATGTGCTAGTCCTTGATGAGGTATTGAGGAGATAACAATGAACTGAAGGGCAATTTCTTCTCAGAATTTATAGGCTAGTGAATGAGACGATAATTAAATGCCATTTCTGTGTACGTGTGCTGAGTGTTCCCTTGTACAGAGGGTCTTGGGTATACCAGGGATGCATCTTCCAGTCTGGGAGACTTCCAGAAAGGAAGTCACACCTAACCTGAGTTTTGAAGGATGAGTAGAATTTAGGGATAGATTGAACAGTGAATTTAATATGTGAGATTTTCCATAACTTTAAGAATTAGTATATGGAGATCTGTCAACACACATCTCATTAAAGTGTTTGCTTTGATTTTCCTAAGTGATGTTGGACCAGAATAGCTTCTTACTTCAAAGTTTTCTCTCCGTAGTGAATTGCCTTTGTTCTTGGCAAAGTGCCATAGCAGTAAGAACCTGTTATAACTTTCCACTGTGATCACTGTAATTTACTCAACACCTATTCATAACAGAAAAGATGTTTATTTTTTAGGCCATTGTCTACTTGACATTATCATCAGAAAGAAGTAAGGTTTTCTAGAGTCAAATATTTCCCAGCCTGTGTTTCCTTAATCCTTATCTCCTGAATATTGGCAGATATTTGATTCTAAAAAGAGAGAGTTGAGGGGGAAAATAAGTTGGGTAAATGATTAAACAGATTTATTTATTATAAAACTTACTAGAGGGCACCTGGGTGGCTTAGACGTTAAGTGTCTGCCTTTGGCTCAGGTCATGATCCCAGGGTCCTGGGATCAAGGCCCACATCCGGCTCCCTGCTCAGCAGGAAGCCTGCTTTTCCTTCTCCCACTCCCCCCACTTGTGTTCCCTCTCTCTCTGTGTCTCTTTCTGTCGAATAAATAAAATCTTTAAAAAAAAAAAACTTACTAGAGAATTTCGTGTAATAATGTACATTGGAATTTTGAGAAGGGGAGAGAATATGTAGTTTCTTTAGCTTATGGAATCCTTTCTTTTTGTGGACTATTTTATGAAGCATCAGGGAATAATTTGGAATGACTACTCTTTCTAGACCAGGGTTTCTCACCCTCAACACTATTGATATTTTGGACAGATACTTTGTTGTAGGGGGCTGTCTTGTGCACTGTAGGATGTTTAGCTGTATCCCTGGCTCCCTCCCACTGTATGTCAATAGCTCCCTGTGAGTGGTGACAACCAAAAATGTCTCCAAACATTTGTCAGATGTTTCCTGGAGGACAGTATCTCTCCCAGGTTGAGAAACACTGGTCTAAACTGTAAGTTCTTTGAAGGCAGAAGGTCTTTTTCCAGAATCTACAGCACAGGTTAGACGTGTAATAAGTGAATAAATGTTAAATAAATAAGCTAGACATTATGATCAAGAAATGCACATTGTCCAGTTTCTATAAACATTAGGTTATGAACAGTAAGGTCTAGCATTATTGATATTGTTTCACCATCTAAGTTAGCAAGTTAATTAATAAACATATAGCTACTATTAATCTGCTCCTGTCTGTACAAATTATAATAATGTAGGCTAGTGGGTGCCTGGGTGGCTCAGTGGGTTGGGCTGCTGCCTTCAGCTCAGGTCATGATCTCAGGGTCATGGGATTGAGTCCCGCATCGGGCTCTCTGCTCAGCAGGGAGCCTGCTTCCCTCTCTCTCTCTCTCTGCCTGCCTCTCTGTCTACTTGTGATCTCTCTCTCTGTCAAATAAATAAATAAAATCTTAAAAAAAAATAACGTAGGCTAGTTTGTGAAGGATTAATGGATCTTCTCCAACGTGAGCATGGTGATAGTCCCTAGAGCTTAGAGATGGTTTTATTTATTTATTTATTTTTTAAGATTTTATTTATTTATTTGACAGAGATCACAAGCAGGCAGAGAGGCAGGCAGAGAGAGAGAGGGGGAAGCAGGCTCCCCACTGAGCAGAGAGCCCAATGCGGGCCTCGATCCTAGGGCCCTGAGATCATGACCTGAGCCGAAGGCAGAGGCTTAACCCACTGAGCCACCAACGTGCCCAGAGATGGTTTTATTTTAAAATACACATAATTTGGGGGCACCTGACTGGCACCATCAGTGTAGCACGAGACTCTTGATCTCAGGGTTGTAAGTTTGAGCCCCACATTGGGTAGAGAGATTACTTAAAAATAAAATCTTTTAAAAAATGCATATAAATTTGTAAGCCTAGCTGTAGATCTACTAATACTTATAAGAGGTTTTCTACAGTAGTCTATATCTGAGAGGAGTTCATCATGCTGTCTATATAATTTTAATGTTCCCCAGATTCAAAATGATAGCCACATGGCAAAATATTTAGAAATCTATAAAAACCTTGGGTTAAAAGATACCACAGACTCTTTGTATCAGAGTATGTTCAGTGAATAATAAGATCTCAATAATTATATCTTATTGTTATCATCATCATGATCACGAAGGGAATATTATCCTTTATGACCAAATAGCACATCAAATGTCTTTGAATCTCTTCAGGACCTCCAACCAGCCTGTTTCAACCACCTCGTCGCCCTGGCCTTGGAACTGTTGGAAAACCAATTCGACTGTTAGCCAATCATTTTCAGGTTCAGATTCCTAAAATAGATGTGTATCACTATGATGTGGATATTAAACCAGAAAAACGACCTCGGAGAGTCAACAGGTAAGTATCAGAAAAAGTAGACTTCTGTATATTTAAATGCGTATAAGTGCATTCTATATATTTATATATGCATTAAGTGCATATAAATGCATATTTCTTATGTATCATATTGTTCTCTAAATTCTTTCCATGTAGGCTTTGTTTTCTAAGATGGTAAGTTTTTCGATAGCAGCTTTGTTGTCTCATACACGGTTATTCCGGAGATTGTCGCACAGTGCTGGATATGTCATTGTTCTTTAAGTGAATACTTATTGAATGAAGGAGAAAGTCACTCTTGTTGTCCAATGGTAGCAGAAATTTAAATAATAAAATAAATAAAAATAGGTGAAGCATTAGTGTCTGTGGGAAATTAGAACTATCTGAAAATTCAGGGGCTGGCTCAGTTGATGGAGTGTGCAACTCTTGATCTCAAGGTTGTGAGTTTGAGCCCCATGTTGGATGTAGAAATTACTTAAAAATAAAATCTCTTTAAAAAACTATCTGTAAATTCAAATTTTATCATTAAGTGTTAGTATCCGACATGAGAAAAATGTAAGTGTAAAGGCAGAAGAATCATCTTGGAATATTGAAAAAAGTAAGCTCAGAGAGAAGCTCTGTTAAATCTGACATTACCCAAGAGGGGTCTGGATGAGACGATTCAAGGCTTGTGGTCTGTGTGGCAGGAATTTACCAAGTGTGAAGACATAGTCCTGTAGTAGATATTTTTATAATGCTAAGAACACCTGCTTACCTTTTCTTTGTTTTCATGTCATGATAGTTACACCATCCTTAATATTAGGATTCTTGCTTTTCTAAGAATACCCCTATTGTCAAGTGCAATATTTTATGCTGCTCGATTTTTGTTTCTCGTTATAAATCAATGATATGGCTTTCTGGTACAGTTTAATCTCATGCAGACCCATAATTGCTTGGCTATTGTATAACTGAGATCAATTGTAATAGAAGTGGTATTAATGGCTAATGTTAATCCATTCAATAAATATTTTATTGAGTGCTTACTATGTACCAGGTATTGTTCTATGCCCTGGGAATACAACATGAACAAAAAACGCAAAAATTTCTACTCTTGGGGCACTTATATTCAAATAGGGGAGAAGATAAAAAATAAATCAATAAGGAAACAAAACATATTACATGTTAGTTGGTGATAAGTGCTATGTAGAAAAATAAATCAGGGAAAGAATATAGAGAATGGGGGCAGGGGGTTCACTGAAATATTTTTAATAATTTTTGGAGGTGATGTCAACAAGATGTGCTGATGGATAGAACATAGGATATGAGGGAAGAAATGAGTCATGATCAATCCCAGGGTTTTTGTCCTATGCAAGTGGAAAAATGGAGTTGCCATTTATTGGGATGGGGAGAACTATAGGAGAAGTCAGCAGGGCTGGCAGATCCTAGTGGAGCTGTTGAGTGGGGGGTAGGGAGTTGAACAGATGAGGTTGGATTCAGAGGAGCGGTCTACACTAGAGACAAACATTTGAGAGTCATCACCATATTGGTGGTGAAGCCATGAGCTGGGTAAGATTATACAGGAAGTAAATGTAGTTAGAGAAAAGACTCCAAGACTGAGTCCTGGGGCACCCCAATATTTTTAAATTGGGGGATGATGCTTATTAGACAGGAGACTGGCATGGAGAGGTCACTGGGATAGGAGAGAACCAGGACAGAGCAAGGAGGCAAGGCAAGATGTGTTAAGTTGAAAGAGTTTATTACCTAATGTCCAAGAAGCACTGAATTTAGCACTGTGGAACCCACTGAGGACCTTGGTAAGAGTAGTTTTGGTAGGGGAAGATAGAGAAGGTTTAAGAGAGATAGGAGAAGAGCAATTAGAGACAACTCCTTTAAGAGATTTTGACACAAAGGGGAACAGAGAAATGGGATGTTCAAATGAGGAAGTCAGGTCAGGGAAATTTAATTTTTTTGAAGATGAGAGAAACTATAGCATATCTGTATGCTGAAGGAAATAATCTAATAAAGAGGGAAAAAATGTATAATTCAGGAAAGAGGAGAATTCCTGGAGTCATACCCATGAACACAGCAGAGTGTAAGTGGGCTTATTGTGTGACCAGCATTGTTCTAAATATTCTATGTGTATTTATTCACTTAATACAATAAACTTTTGTGGTAGCTATTATGATTATTATAATTTTACAAATGAAAAGAAACAGATAATGGAAAATTCAGTAACTTGTCCAAGGTCATGCAGCTCTGCCAATTAATCACTGTGTGACAAGGAGCAGATCACTTGCCTATTCTGAATTTTTTTTTCTTTTTACTCTGAAGACAGTAATCATCAGCCTATTTGTCTCACAAAGATTAGGTGAGAACAGAGGCAAAAATATCTCTTCACTATAAAACTACTTATGGTTGTAATTTAAGAATATAAGATGAGAAATTACCCTTCTAATATGAAAGTGTATTATTCTTAAGATAGTTTTTTTAAATTGGTAATACACGATATTATATTTTTCCATCAATTTTCTTCAGTTGTGTGATTTGGTTTATAAATGTGTATCTTTTCCATGGATTTTATTTGCAGAATATTAATGCCTTAGGTAGTTGTGATATATTCTGGCTTTTAAGATATAGTTTCCGCATGTAGCACTCACCAAGCATTGGTAAGATACAGTTTTCATTAACTCTAGCATTCCACAATCTCACAGACTCAGATCTGTCCATCTTAAACCATATACTCTAGTTACTCTGCAGCTGCCTTTACTTCAGAGCCTGCACACGGTGTGATCTGGTATGTATACAAGAACACTTAGGTAAAGCTTTGCATGCTTGATTGAGGGAAGGGCGTTCATTCTAGAAAGAAACTACATTGGTAATCTTTATGGAATGATGATATTTTACATTTCCTTCTCTACACTGCTCCAGGAGCACTTTGGGTTAAAACAAGATGGTTTGAAGGATAATAAATTACCAGCATTAGGCAAAGGGATTGACATTACTTTGAGTACGATACATCTTGAATTTACTGGCCCTCACATTTCTTGATTTCTGCCTACTCTCTTTTCTGAAACCATGATACTTGAATAAGATGTTTATTTGCTACCAGATTTATTATGATTCAATTATGAATATTCATGCCAAACTCAGATACCTAAGATAGGTTATTCTCATAAGGCTATATTTGTCACGGGAGAGGATTATGAAAGGCAAGAGTTTGAGAGGGTGCCATAAAAGTTATGCTTTCTTTTTAGTCCCTGCTTTTCTTTTCATCTCATAGCTGCTTTTGTTCACCTGTTGCTACCTTTCTTTACTTGACCGTTGTTAACTACTTTTTTTAATTACTAGAGACAATTATAACTATAACTCTTATTTTTTCCAAGTAATTTTGAACTCAGCTTAGGTGATTAAGGTATGGTGATAGTTTTCTTATTCCTTGCCATTTCTCAAAGCTAACTGCCACTCTCTCCATTACTGTTAAGAGAGGTAGTAGATACAATGGTGCGGCACTTCAAGATGCAGATATTTGGTGACCGGCAACCTGGCTATGATGGCAAAAGAAACATGTACACAGCACATCCACTGCCAATTGGACGGGATAGGGTAAGTGTTAAGGGCCAGAAATGCATTCTAGACTTAGGTCATTTACATAGGACAAAAGTGTCTCCCTTTCTAGGGATGCCTGGGTGGCTCAGTGGGTTAAAGCCTCTGCCTTCGGCTCAGGTCATGATCTCAGGGCCCTGGGATCAAGCCCCACATTGGGCTCTCTGCTCAGCAGGGAGCCTGCTTCCCCCTCTCTCTGCCTGCCTCTCTGCCTACTTGTGATCTCTGTCTGTCAAATAAATAAACAAAATCTTTAAAAAAAAAAAAGTCTCCCTTTCTAATAACAACTTAATTCTTAGAGTTGTTTCACATAGTGATGATAGATTTGTTACTATGTCCATATTATCTTGTCCCTTAGTTAATCAATAATTGAAGATGAGATTAGTATTAGAATTTAGGTTGAGTATTATTATTTGAGTTAGATTAGATTAGGTTGATTACATATATTCCAGGTGTTTTCACATTGCTAATGTATTTGCTATGTGAATCTGAACAATGGAGTTTTATAGATTATAGAAAATTATCTAAAACCCACCTAGGAAAATATTCACAATACCACAATAACTTTTTCTTTTACAAGTTTAGTTTTTAAATTTGAAAAGCAATATGTAAACATATACTCATTATAAACTTACTTAGACATCAAGAAATATTGTGATTTCCTGTCTCCCTACCTGCCTGCATCCCCAGCCCCATTTTCCTTTTTCGAGGAAACAACTCTAATAGTTCAGTATGTATCCTTTCAGATATTTTTATATGCATTAGCTATTTATGCATATGGTTATGTGTATTGTTTGTTTGCATATCATTCTAGGATTTGCTTTTTCATTTAACAATATGTCTGGGAGATCTTTCCATTTCTGTACATTTAAATATCTCATTTATTTAATTCAAATTCTTTTTTATTGTGGTAAAGTAGGCATAACATAGAATTTACTATTTTAACCATTGTTAAGTGTACCATTCAGCGGCATTTAGTATATTCATGTTGTTGTGCCATCATTGCCACTATCGATCTCCAAAACTTCTTTTATCATCCCAAACTGAAAGTACATACCCACCACACATTAAGTTCTCCTGTCCCCTTCCCCCAGTTCCTAATATCCACTATTCTACCTTAGGTCTTGGGGCACCTGGGTGGCTCAGTCGGTTAAGCATCCGACTCTTGATTTCGGCTCAGGTCATAATCTCAGGGTTGTGAGATCAAGCCCTGTGTTGGACTCTGTACTATGTGCAGAGCCTTGTTAAGATTCTCTCTCTCCCTCTCCTTCTGCCCCTCTGTCTTTCTGTCCCTATGAATTTGACATTTCTAAGTACTTCATCTAAGTCGAATCATCCAATATTTGTCCCTTTGCATCTGGCTTATTTCAGTTAGCATAATGTTTCCAAAGTTCATCCACATTACAACATTCACCTTAGTTTCAAACTATTGCATAATAGTTAATATGATCTTATTCCCCTCTTGATGGACACTTAGGTTGTTTCCAATGTTTTACAATTACAGAAAGTCTTAAAGTAAATATCCTTATGAATATACTATGTTGAATATTCCTGTGATCTTTCTTTCATACTCTATAAAGATATGTAGCTATGATTTTTTTTTCCCTTAGGTTGATATGGAAGTGACCCTTCCAGGTGAGGGTAAAGACCAAACCTTTAAAGTGTCTGTTCAGTGGGTATCAGTTGTGAGCCTTCAATTGCTTTTAGAAGCTTTGGCTGGGCACTTGAATGAAGTCCCAGATGACTCAGTACAAGCACTTGATGTTATCACAAGACATCTTCCCTCAATGAGGTTAGTACCTTAGTTCAAGTTCATTCCCACAAATGTCACAATTTTTCGGTAGGTTGCATTGGAGCCATTGAAAAGTTTCTGCATAAGTCAGTTCAAATTTGGTTTCGAGTTTGTTTATAAAGTTGAGAGTAAGGGCACCTGGGTGGCTCAGTGTGTAAAGCCTCTGCCTTTGGCTCAAGTCATGATCTCAGGGTCCTGGGATCGAGCCCCACATCAGGCTCTCTGCTCAGTGGGGAGCCTGGTCCCCCCTCTCTCTCTGCCTGCCTCTCTGCCTACTTGTGATCTCTGTCAAATAATTAATTAAAATCTTTAAAAATTTTAAAAGATATAAAGTTGAGAGTGAAATGAAAGACCTTTCGAGTTTTTGTTGGTGAAACATGCAAACTCATTTCTTCAGGTACACTCCGGTGGGTCGTTCTTTTTTCTCACCTCCTGAAGGTTACTACCATCCTCTGGGAGGGGGCAGAGAGGTTTGGTTTGGCTTTCATCAGTCTGTGAGACCTGCTATGTGGAATATGATGCTCAATATTGACGGTATGATAGAATTCTTTTTTCACTCTTTTGGCCAGTTTTTTTGGTACTTTCCCTTTCTCTGAACTGAAGCTAAGTATATGTCCTCTCTGTTTGTTAGTGTCCGCAACTGCTTTCTACCGGGCTCAGCCTATCATCGAGTTCATGTGTGAAGTTTTAGACATTCAGAACATCAATGAACAGACCAAACCGCTAACAGATTCCCAGCGTGTCAAGTTTACCAAAGAAATCAGAGGTAGGTATTTGCATTATAGGAGTCTCAGCAAGGTGGCTCAGTGTGGTGCAAGGAGCAGGGTCTTGGAGTTAGACACATGTGGGTTTCCATCCCAGCCAGTTCTGTAAGTGGGACCTTGGGCTAGTTACTTAACTGCCATGAGTCTTATTAAATGCAATTAGATGTATAAAGCTTCGCATCCAGGAGCTGGCACACATCAAGCATTCTTACCCTTTACCCACTTAAAAACGCATTTTATTTTATTTGTGTATATTATTATTTTTCAAACTTACATTTTAATAAAATAACACAAGTTTATTCTCCTCTGGAATTTCTGTTCTTTTTGTTATTAGCTATCTTCTCTCACTACAATATAAGCTTCCTTAGGGCTCTCTCTAGACCCCATAATAATTACCAGAATTGTTGGTATTTAGGAGATATTTATTGAACAAATTAATAAATTTATGTAGGTTGCACATTTAAAATCATCTGTTCTAAGTTTTTCTTCTTAGCTGAGACTTTTTGCCTATACATGATGAAATTGTCCTCTTACCCTTGCAACTTTTGCCCTGTACAATGTGGCGCCTTTCTGAAGACATTTGAACCTGTTTTTGTCACTGTGGTTTTAATTAATACCTAATGTTTTGACCTTTTTTTTTTTCACTTCAGGTCTTAAAGTTGAGGTGACCCACTGTGGACAGATGAAACGAAAATATCGAGTTTGTAATGTGACTAGACGGCCAGCCAGTCATCAAACGTATGTTAACCACATCTAAAATGATACTGTTACATTTTTGGTAACAGAAGAAGCTGCTGTGATTTGAGAAAATGGTATCCCATATTGCAAGTTTGAAAATCACTGAGATCATCACTTTTAACCACCAGAGCTTTAAAAAATGTTTTAAATATTTTTGATGGAGACATTTTAAAAACATACTTCTTGTCTTTGATTCATTTCCCCTCTTAAACAAAGGGTGCCAAACACAGATCAACTTTTATATAACAATACAGAGTCATCATTATAACCATCATTTATTATACTGTTATATTCTCAACGCATGTCTCAAAGGATCTGTTAAGTCCTGTAAGTCATATAAGGCTGTCATGAGAAGATACTGCTTAGTGTTTTGTTTGGATTTTTCTCTTTTTGTAGCCTCTTCCAGCTGCCAGTATGTATGGCATGCCTCTAGCAGCTACTCATTTCCATTTTCCAGTCTTATTTTTCTAATCACCTGACTTCTAATCCACTCTGAACTATGCAAAATGAGAAAATATACATGAAAATGCTTTTATTTACCATAGATGTAAGTTTTGTTCTTATAATCAAGATCTTTAAACTGATGTCTGACATAAATAAATATTGGCTGCTCCGAGTAAAGAACATGAACTTAACGTATATAAACTTTATATTGTTTTGGTTAGTCAGAAGCCTTTTGTTTGTTTGTTTATATTCTAGTCTGACTTTGTTTTAGTTCCACCTTTCTCGATTTTTAAACTTTAGTGTATGTCAAAATCATCAGGAAGGCTTTGTTCTAGATAGTAGAAGTTTTTGGGTGAACTCTGGATAAATAGGGTATATTAATTCAATATGATTTGAATAAATTCATCAGTATGAACCCATAGGCACCTGATGTGAATTTCTTAAGAGTTATAAAGTGATATTCCATGTGTTCTTCATATTATACTATTGACTTCATTCTCTAGGAGGAAAAACATTACTGAAGCCTTATGAAATCACTATTGAGAAGTGTAGCTTTTGTTTCAAGAACTTTATCTTTTTCGTTAATTACTTTACATAGCCCTGTAAAAATAATTATATTTATAGATTTAGATAATCTTTGCATGAAAATTGAAAGCACGTAGTTTTAAATATCACACAGATAATCCTTGCTACATTGTTATTTTGTGGGGCTGTAACAGTTAAAGCCAGTTAAAGTTATTACTGTACCAAGTATTTAAGTATTACTGTACCAAGTATTAAAGTTATTACTGTACCAAGTATTTAAGATAATTTGCCCCCTGAAAGAGCTAAAGAAAGAGAATCTCTTAAATCATGTTCTCCAGTTTATAGCAAATATCCTGGCACAGTCTTAGTTTCATGTGTTTGGTCTTATTGCCTCTAAATCCACATATATTTGTCCTGGTTTGGGATCTGGAAATGTGGCCCCAATAATTGTTACACTCATTTTATAAAAAGTTCTCTTAAGCAAATAAAACTCCTATGTGGATGATCCCAAGTCCTTATTTGACTTTAAATAATTTGTAGGAAGCCAGCTAGAGATTATATATGTATCTGTAGGTGTTAACTGACCTCTAGTGAGTTTGTATTTTCCAGTTCTGCAGCTTCTTCTTGTTTGAACTTCTTTTTAAGCTTTAATTTCTATTTTTCTCATCCTAGCTTCAACAAACATGGAAAATTCCAAGAATCACTTTTCTCATTAAATACTAAATGACATAAGTGAAACTGGTCAAATAAAGATTGACCTTTGTTTTTTAAGTGACTGATCAAAGTAGAAAATGTTAGGCTTTTGTTTGTTTGTTTAAGAAAAAAAGAACTTGAAGACATTTCTAAAAGAGATATTCTCTCCCATAGTTTTCCTTTACAGCTAGAAAATGGGCAAGCTATGGAATGTACAGTAGCTCAGTACTTTAAGCAGAAGTATAGTCTGCAGCTGAAATACCCCCATCTTCCATGTCTCCAAGTGGGACAAGAACAAAAACATACATATTTGCCACTTGAGGTAAGCTAACCTGAATTTTCTTTTCCCGAATCTGCCAATCTCTTGAATGAGTTAAAAAAAATATGAGTTAAAAAAAAAATCATGTTCTAAACTAGTAGTAGAATTTAATATAAATTTTTTTAATATTTTGAGCAGAGACACCTGGGTGGCTCAGCCCATTGAGTGTCTGACTCTTTCAGATCAGGTCATGATCTTGGGTTTGTGGGATCCAGCCCTGTATTGGGCTCCTGGCTCAGCAGGGAGTCTCCTTCTCTCCCTCCTCCTCTGCCAATCCCCCCCTTTGCATGTTCTTGCGCTCTTTCTCTCTCTCTCAAATAAATAAATGAATCTTTAAAAAATTGAATAAAATATTTTAGGCAGATAGCTTCACTAGGTAATAGCATTTTCATGTTTTGGGGAATCGAAGAGGTAAGATAGAGTTTAGCAAAGGCTTACTTTATAAAAACCCATTACACAAATGAATTTCTCTTTGCCTTTCTGTAGGTTTGTAATATCGTGGCAGGACAGCGATGTATAAAGAAGCTCACAGACAATCAGACTTCTACAATGATCAAAGCTACAGCAAGATCAGCTCCTGACAGACAGGAAGAAATCAGTAGACTGGTCAGTAAGGCGTAGTCTTCACGATATGCTAGCTTTCAGATGAGAAAACAAGACAATAGAAAACTCCTGGTGGGACACAGTTACTCTTTGGTTTTTATATACGCAGGCTTTCCTGTTCTTTAGGTGAAGAGTAACAGCATGGTGGGTGGACCGGATCCATACCTTAAAGAATTTGGTATTGTTGTCCACAATGAAATGACAGAGCTCACAGGCAGGGTACTTCCAGCACCAATGCTGCAATACGGAGGCCGGGTAAGCTTTTTATTTCATTCAGCAAGCTCCTTCCAACAATCAGTCAACAAGAGAATAATCCAGGATTTCTCTGCTACACCACACCGAATTGACCCATAGTTTTGCTCCTTACTGCTTTTTGTCTTTTGGCTAATACCAAATAGAGTTTTGTTTATCCCCTCATCAACATTAACATGGCCTTAGATTGTAATGTCTTTTCTCTTTTCTTTTGTTTCTTTTCTTTTCTTTTCTTTTTTTTTTTTTTAAAGAATAAAACGGTAGCCACACCCAACCAGGGTGTCTGGGACATGCGAGGAAAGCAGTTTTATGCTGGCATTGAAATTAAAGTTTGGGCAGTTGCTTGTTTTGCGCCTCAGAAACAATGTAGGGAAGATTTACTAAAGTGAGTATCTTCATATTTTCAGCTTAGTAATATCCCTCCCAGATATGAAAATACCATCTTGACATGAATGTGCTGTGCACACTGGCACTAAACCCCTAACTCCTGTAGAGACGCCATCTGGCTGCAGGAAAAAGACCTTGTATTATAGTAAATGGCAAACTTGGGAATGACATTAAGAATCTGACTCAGCTTCCTTACGTTTAGAGCAGAAAGTCTGTGACTAACAAGGCCGAAGCAGAGATAGTTGGTAAACTGTTCTTAGTGGAGCTTCCTTTGGTATTAATTGTATCTTTTCAGCTGAGATAAAAACTCGTCCGTTTTTAATCATTATAATTTACTAGTGAGCTTGTTTTCTGCAGGGTCACACTGACTGAGATCAATGGTTCATGTCTTACAGATGCAGCTATCTATAGAAAGGAAGTTAGTGAGAAGGGTGGAAAAATCAGGGCAGGAAAAGGGAACTGGATAGAAGAAAGGAGTCTTACAAAATACTGGCAAATGCACAAAAGAAATTATTCTGAAAGCTTTATATGTAGATTAAAGTCACTTCTCATATCCAGAATTTAAAACTTCACAATGAATTTTGTTTTTTTTAAAGTGGTAATTTATTTTGATATTGTTATTAAATCAAATATGGTACAAGTTTGAATGTAATCCTAAATACACTGATTTTGTGTTCCCATGTTCTCAGTTGAACACAAGCTTACCCAACCATTCTTGTGCCAGGCTTAACCAAAATACATATTACCTGAAATTTTGACTTTGGTTTTCTTTGGTTCAGAATTGACTTGAATGTTTAATTAATATATATATACATATATATATATATATTATTTTTTTATATATCCAAAAAATATATATATATTTTTGGATATATCCAAAAATCTTTGGACAGACATGCTCTTCCTGGTTCCTGGGGCCCAGTTGAAGCAGAATTATTTAAAAATTCAAAACGATGATCTGATAGCTTAATAATACAGATTCTTGTGCATTATAATTGCCATGATACAATTGCCAGCCCATCTTTGGCAACCATTTAAAGGTTTTTTTCTTTGTTTATTTGTTTATTTTTAATTTTGGTTAAGAATGTACAGAACTGAAAGAAGTATCTTAGTGGAAAATAAATTCTGGGAATGTACTCTGAAATGAAAGCACTGTGCCACTGGTTCTATTTTAACAGGAGTTTCACTGACCAGCTCCGTAAAATCTCTAAGGATGCGGGAATGCCCATCCAGGGTCAGCCATGTTTCTGCAAGTACGCACAAGGTGCAGACAGTGTGGAGCCCATGTTCAAACACCTGAAAATGACCTATGTGGGCCTACAGCTAATTGTGGTTATCTTGCCCGGGAAGACACCAGTGTATGGTATGGACCCCTTTAATTCTGAATGAGGGATGATTTGAATGAGTACGTCAGGATAAGCTGGGTTAAGCTGTCATCACAAATAACCCCAGACTCTCAGTGGCTCAGAGCATCAAAGGTCGATTTTTTGTTCCTGCTATGTGTCCATTGAGGTGGACTGTGGCCTCTGTTCTATGCCATCATATCATTTTCACTCTGGGACCCAGGCTGGCAGAGTAGTTGCTATTTGGAAAGTTGCTGGCCCCGTGGCAGAGAGGAAAGAGAGCTCTGGAAGGTTCTTAACATTTGCAGCTTTTTTTTTTTTTTTAAACATTTATTTTATTTTATTTTATTTTTTTTAAAGAGAGAGAGAGAGAGAGAAGCAGGTTCCCTGCTGAGGAGAGTGCATGATGTGGGACTCAATCCCAGGACCCTGAGATCATGACCTGAGCTGAAGGCAGAGGCTTAACCCACTGAGCCACCCAGGCACCCAACGTTTGCAGCTTCTTGACCACAACCAGCGACATGGCTTTTCCCAACCTTCCTGTGGGAATTGAGAATGGGGACCAGGAAATTCAGCGGGAATGAGCGTGGGGCATATAGTGAGATTCTACCATAGTCCTCAAAGCAGGAAGAACTGGAATGTTTGGTGACAAGTACTTAGGAATATCGGAGTGGGGAAGAGTGGGGGAGTCCACCACTTCCCAAAGAGAAGCTGTTCCGTTTGTGTCTCTTATAACAAGAGTGATAAAAAGTTCTTTGGTCTATCATCTAAATAAAGGATTTAGGAACTCCAGACCAACTGTTTGAACTTTATAAAATGTCTTCAACGCCCTCTGTAATTGTTTCTTTTGTTACTGTCTGTTTATCTCTGGTGTTTAGAGGAAAAAGAGGGGGAGGGTGGAAGAAAAATATTTAAAAGTCAAAGAGCTGGCCTGTATACTGAGAGGGAGGAGCTGGGAGATGGAGTCCTTTGCCAGACCCGTCCTGTGGAAAAAGTAACCTTAAGGGACTGAGTCAGGGGTGGCAAGCAGCATCCAGGAGTAAAGGAATTGGGCTAACTTCAATGCCTGCAGGAGGGAAAAAAAGGAAAAATTGCCCTGGGGGGTTAGCTGATGAAATGACCACATCTAGCACAGCGTGCTGTGTGAATGTTTGTGTGCGGATTTTTGTCTCTACTCTTAGTAATTAGGAGAATATTTAAACATATTAAAATTAATTAATGAATTTATCCTTGTAGCGGAGGTGAAACGTGTTGGAGATACCCTCCTGGGTATGGCCACACAGTGTGTCCAGGTAAAAAATGTAGTGAAGACCTCACCCCAGACCCTTTCCAACCTTTGCCTGAAGATAAATGCAAAGCTCGGAGGAATTAACAACGTGCTTGTACCTCATCAAAGGTAAGATTCTGAACTCTGTTTTTTCTACTTTTTTTCCCTATGTTTTTATTAAGATCAAATGTAATGTAATTTACACTAAGCACACATATCTTAAACATGCATCTCAATTACTTTTTCTTAGATATGTATACACTCATGTAACAACTACTCAGGTGAAGATCTAGCACAATACTCTATCAGGCTTCCTTGTGACCTCTCCCAATAGGTAACCCCCAAAGGTAACCACTATCACCATAGATTAGTTTTGCCTCTTTTTGAACTTCATATAAATGGCACCATACAATATATAATATATAATGTCTATCTTTTATTTATCCATATGTGTCTGGAATTCATTCATGTTACTGTATTAAGTAGTAATTTATTCATTTTCATTATTGTATATTATTTCATAATATGAATATACCACAGAATTTTATTTTATTTATTTTATGGGTTTTTTTTAAAAAAGATTTTATTTATTTATTTATTTGACAGAGAGAGATCACAAGTAGGCAGAGAGGCAGGCAGAGAGAGAGGAAGGGAAGCAGGCTCCGTGCTGAGCAGAGAGCCCAATGCGGGGCTCGATCCTAGGACCCCGGAATCACGACCCGAGCCGAAGACAGAGGCTTAACCCACTGAGCCACCCAGGCGCCCCTTATTTTATGTTTTTTTAAAAAGATTTTATTTATTTATTTGACAGAGAGAGACGCAGCAAGAGAGGGAACACAAGCAGGGGGAGTGGGAGAGGGAGAAGCAGGCTTCCCACTGAGCAAGGATCCTGATGTAGGACTCAATCCCAGGACCCTGGGATCATGACCTGAGCCAAAAGCAGATGCTTAATGACTGAGCCACCCAGGCACCCCTACCACAGAATTTGAATCTATTCTACCATTGATGGATATTATTGTACATTCATTATACAATTTTTCTACCTTTTTGGTGGATGTAAATTCTCTTTTTCCTGAGTATATATCCAAGAGTAGAATTAGTAAGTTATAGAAAGTACACAGATTTAGCATGATAGGTACTGTTAAATAGTTTTCCAGAGTGGTACCAGTTTGCATTTCCATGGAGATTTCTAGTTGCTCCATATTCTCACCAACACTTGGTAGTATCAGTCCTTTTAACTTTAGCCATTTTGTTTGGGGTAATAGTATCTCATCATGGTTTTAATTTGCATTCCCCTGATGATTAATCATGTTGAACACAATTTCATATGTTTATTGGCTATTTGGATATCCTCTTTTATGATGGGTTTGTTCAGTTATTTGCCTGTTTCTTGGATTGGATTATCCATCTTTTCATTAATTTGTATTTTCCCTAACTATTGAGATAATACCTGACTTGCTAACTCTAAAATGTTTTCCTGTGAAATTCTTTATGTGAAAGTGATTTGAAAAGTTCAGTTTAGAGCTGTGGTATTAGTGAGTGCTCTACTTGACAAGAATATGAAATTGAGTGCCTTGCTCTTCTTGTACAATCATATTCCAATTCTTAATTTGCCCTTGAATAAAATTTATAGGTAACAAAATCCTAATCACGCCTCTACATCAGTGATGGATGAGGTGTGCAGGCCATATGGGAAGTTAGTCTAAAATCTGAAATAATTTAATTTTACCCCAAATATTTGAGACAACATAACATAACCATTTAGAGTGCACACCTCAGTATCTGACAACCTAGGTTTGGATTCCAGCTTTACTGTTTCCTAGTTAGGTAAGCTTGGGCAAGCTCCTTAATTGCCTCTGTCTCATATTTTAATTCTGGAAAATTGAGATAATAATTGTACCTCCCTCATGGGATTATTTTGAGGACTAAAGGAGTTAATACAGGTAAAGCATTTAGCACAGTGGCTGGTACATGTAAGCTGTTACTGTGTTGTGCATGTGTGTGTTATAGAGGTATGTTTGCTGTTGTACTTCTCTGCACCATCATGTTGCATGATGATACATACAAAGAAATCTAAGACAGCTGCTGCCCTCATGGAGATATCTATTCTATTACAGGAGTTTTTCAGATTTGGGGTGTCTCCTATATTATACTTTAAGAATCAATATTCAGTTCCAAATCCCACCCTTAAGAATTTGCCAGAGAAGCATGCATGATATTTCCCCTTGATTCCTTAGAAAAATCAGTGCCAAATAAATGAGTTCATTCTTTCAACAAGTGTTTATTGAGTGCCAGCTGTGAGTGAGGCAGTGTTCCAGGTACTAGGGATACTGCAGGGAATAAGACAAAACAAAACAAAATTCCTGCCCTTGTGGAGCTTACACTTGGGTGTGTGTGTGTGTGTGTGTGTGTGTAAAATAAATACGATTTAAATTAAGTGAGGTGCCTGGCTGGCTCAGTCAGTAGAGTGTGTGACTCTTGATCTTGGGATTGTGAGTTTGAGCCCCACATTGGGTGTAGAGATTACTTAAAAATAGAATCTTTTAAAAAATAATTAAGTAAAATATGAGGTATAAGTGATGAATACTAGATAAAGATAGAATAGGGAAGTAGATAGACTCGATTCTCTTCTCTAAGCCTCATATCTTAAAGCACATAGGGGGTTTTGTCCCAGTTCCATGTAAATTCTGCAATTCTAATCCATTGTAAGAATCCTGGGATCCAAAGAGAGTTCGTTCTGGGAAAGTCTTCCCTTCGCACATAGGGATTTTATTAAATTTGGCTCAGGTCCTCTTTTAGTTTTCCCTTCCTACTATTATAGAAGAACCATGTTGATTTCTTTTTTAATATTTTATTTACTTCTTTTAGAGAGAGAGAAAGAGAGCGGGAGGAGGAGCAGAGAGAGAGGGAAAGAGAATCTCCAGCAGACTCATCACTGAGCGTAGAGCCCAACACAGGGCTCGATCCCAGGACCCTGAGCTGAAACCAGGAGTCAGACGCTTAACCGAACCACCCAGGTGTCCCAACCACGCTGACTTCTTGATTCAATTCAGATTCATTGCCAAAGAGGCACAGACACTCAGTGGGCCTTAGAGTTCTCACCCAATATGTTCAAGTCTTTATTCTGTCTTATAAAACTATATCTGATTCTATCTGGTGAGCTTGAAAGTACAGATTTTCATCTGTATGTCTGAGTGTCAATGTCTCCTTCAATCTGAGCAGGCCCTCGGTGTTCCAGCAGCCTGTCATCTTCCTGGGAGCAGATGTCACACACCCCCCGGCAGGGGATGGGAAGAAGCCTTCCATTGCTGCTGTCGTTGGCAGTATGGATGGCCACCCCAGCCGGTACTGTGCCACCGTTCGGGTGCAGACCTCCCGCCAGGAGATCTCCCAGGAGCTCCTCTACAGTCAGGAGGTAATTCAGGACCTCACTAACATGGTTCGAGAGCTGCTGATCCAGTTCTACAAATCTACACGCTTCAAACCCACTCGGATCATCTACTACCGTGGAGGGGTATCAGAGGGACAAATGAAACAGGTACTCTGATTACCCATGGTTGCCTTTGGGGGTTCTGGGTGTCTGATAGAGCTTCCTCCCATCTAACACTCCAGGTAAACCAGATCTGAGAGCTGCAAGGTGAGTTCTCAATTAAATGTCATTCTGTTTCTATCTCCTAGGTCGCCTGGCCAGAGCTAATAGCAATTCGAAAGGCATGTATTAGTTTGGAAGAAGATTACCGGCCAGGAATAACCTACATTGTGGTGCAGAAGAGACATCACACACGACTTTTCTGTGCAGATAAAACAGAAAGGGTAAGAAACTATGGTAGAAGCCTCATTATCTGATGCAAGTGAATATATTTTCAAATGGGCATACATACAATTTTTCCCCTAAAAACAACTGTAATAATAATTTAATAAATGTACTATCTCCAGTTGAACATTGATGATCACTTCTGAATGATACAGGTTTCAAGACTGAATATTTCTCTTGTGTGACAGAAGTGCTGGCTTCTGGAGTTTTGTTTTGTTTTGTTTTAAGATTTTATTTATTCATTTGACAGAGAGAGAGATCACAAGTAGGCAGGGAGGCAGGCAGAGAGAGAGGAGGAAGCAGGCCCTCCGCGGAGCAGAGAGCCCAATGCGGGGCTCTATCCCAGGACCCTGGGATCACGACCCGAGCCGAAGGCAGAGGCTTTAACCCACTGAGCCACCCAGGCGCCCCCTTCTGGAGTTTTTAAGGGGTGTCAAAAACATGCCAAGATATACTGTGGTGATACAGGCAAACTCTGAAGGGATGGCTTATGTATTTGGACTTTATTATCATTTGCTACTTCTTACTACCTGTGCCTAAGGCATGGTTCTAGGGTATAAAGAAGAATTTCTCTTCTAAATGATTTTGTATAGGTGCCTATATCAGTGCAGGAGATTCTTGGGGTACACATTTTGAATGGTTATAATGTCATACTTACTAACTGTGGGCAAGTTAACTTCTCTAAGCCATAATGTTCTCATCTGTAAAATGTAGTAAGAACAATTCCCATCTCACAGGATTAAATTAATAAATGAATATTAATTTGGGGTATAATTCCCAGCATTTGCTAAGAGCCATTTTGCATAATTGATTTATAATGTGTTATTCATGAATAAACTAGCTAAGTTATAGGTACGTAATATTGAGTGACTTTGCTTCTGTGATATCTTCTGTGACGTTGTTTCATCTTTTCCAGGCCCTCCCTGATTCACCCCCAGAGAGACCAGTTCTTTCTGTTGCTTACTCTTGTAATCTTGTGGGTCACTCCCATTATTTTCTAGTATGCCTTTAGGTTTTGTCTCTAATCCAAGGCTTTTTGTTTTCAAATGCACTGAAAAACTAAGGTTTCTCTCCTTGAGCTCCAGTTCCACCAGTCAGCTCAGATTCCAACTATTGTCTTCTGAATTACCCAAACCCTAACTCAGTAGTACTTTGTAGGCCTCCACTGACACAAGTTCTCCAAACTCTTGCCTGAGCTCTGGTCACAGAATACCCTGCCATCCCATCCCTAACTGGATTATCACCTCTCCATCCTTCCATCAAATTGCCGTCTGTGTGTAGCTCTAGGAGCTGGATTATCTTCCTAAAACCCAGGCTGTCTCATCATTTTGTCCTTTACCGTGTCACTCCTAACCTTCCAGAGATTGATAATCCCGGTCCTTGGTCTACTCTGCTCCCTTGACACTTACCAACATCTCCACTTGTCTTATCATGCCTCTAGCCAGTCTCCAACTCTGGATCGGTCCACTTACCCATTTCCTTTGCTTTGACTCTTAGGCCAGTGGAGACTGCTGAGTAAGAAAGTCATTTGTTTAATGATTAATGGCATTGCAGATTCATGATAGCAAATCTCAGCCAGCCTTTGTTGCTGCCATTTCTCCCATTTATCCAGTTTCCCATAGCATGTATTCCAAACCTTCATTCCTCAACTCACCAGCCCTAATCTGTGATGCCTTTATTAGCAACGCTTTACCTTGCCAGCAATAGAACAACTCTCTATTTCCCCAGAAAACAGCATCTCGAAGGCATGAGTTTTCTCAGCTTCCTCTCTTCTACTTTTTTTTTTTTTTTTTAAGATTTATTTATCCATTCTAATGTGAGAGAGTGCGAGCTCGGGGAAGGGCAGAGGGAGAGGGAGAGAGAGGCAGACTCCCTTGCTGAGCATGGGGCTTAACACACAGGGCTTGATCTCAGAACCTTGAGATCATGACCCTGAAATCATGACCTGAGCTGAAAATGGGAGTTGGACGCTTAACCAGCTGAGCCATCTGGGCACCCCTCACCCCTCTCTCCTCTACTTTCAAATGTACTGAAATGTGTTTTCTCCACTCCTTCCTCTCGCATCCCAGAGGCTAATCTCTCCACCTATGCTTTTGTTCCCAGGGGACACTTCATTATTTACCCTTGGTTTTCAAAACTCCAGTTCCTTCACCTCACCCTCTAAAGTTCCTCAACTCCTCCTAGATCCCCCCCAGTAAGCTTCCTTTTACTCTGTTTCTCCCTCAGTCTACCTGCCACATTCTTTGTTTTCTTTCATGACCCTGCTTTTAGAAGAAAAATGTCTTGACTTTCCACCTGTACCTTCTCACATCAGACATCCATTCTCTGTAGCGTGACTTCAGTTTCAGTGATTCTACTGAAGCTGTTTGCTCAGTGACTTGCTCATTTTGAAACTAGTGCTACCTTGTCAGGTTCTTCTGCTGACTTCTTTGCCTGAGCAATACAACTTTCCAGGTTCACTACCCTCTTCTATAATCAGACTTTCTTTGACTTCTCTTCCTTCTCTGGCCATTAAATACTGATGTTTCCAGGCATTTCATACATTTTTCTCTTTCTTCTCTGAATTTCAGCTCTCTTTAGTCTCACCCACTTTTCTGTGTTCACTGATCTGCTTATAGATTCCTAAATTTGTATTCCCAGCTGCAAACATTTCTGTGCAGTTCCTGATCTGCACCTCCAACTGTCTACCAGACATATTTACCCAGATGCTCTATAGGAATTGTATCAGCAGGATCAGCTAGGCAATGCTGTGGAAACAAAAAAACCCTCCAAAAGTCTTAGGGGCTTAGGAGATGCATTTCTTGCTCATATTACACACTCATTGTGGCTCTGATGTCCTCCTTTTGGAACCTAGGCAGACAGAGAAAAATCTATCTGGAACATCACCAGTCATTGCAGCAGAGGGAAAGAAAGATCTGCACAATTCATATGTTGGCTCTTTTTTTTTTTTTTAAGATTTTATTTATTTATTTGAGAGAGAGGGAGGGAGAATGAGAGAGAGAGGGCATGAGAGGAGAGAGGTCAGCCCCGCCGAGCAGGAAGCCTGATGTGGAACTCGATCCTGGGTCTCCAGGATCATGACCTGAGCCACAGGCAGTCACTCAACCAACTGAGCCACCCAGGAGCCCCCATATGTTGGCTCTTAAAGCTCCGGCCCAGAAGTTATACATGCAGGCCACACTCTATCAGCCAAAGCAAGTTACATGGCCACTCCTGAGTTAATTGGGTGGGGATGTATAATCCTCCCCCAGGGAGGGGCACGGGAATATTTGGCACTAGTGATACAATCTACCACAGGCATTTCAAGCAAAACACGTCTGAACCTCCTACTTTCTGTTTTATCCTCATCCAAAGCCTATTCCTCCCCAATTTTCCTTTTCTCCTGTGACTTGGCATCATTGTACATTAAGTCAGCCAAGTTAGAAACTTCAGCATTGTCTTTAAATTCTGCCCCCTTTTCAGTCCCCCCATATTCAGTTGTTCAAATAATCTTCTTTGTTCTGCCCTAAAATCTCTTGTCTCAATTTTTCCTCTTGTGTGTCACCTCTGTCCTAGGCAGAACCTCCTATATTGCAGGAGACTCCTACTGGTCTCCCCATCGGCATTCCTCCTTCACAGATGTACCCTCCATCTGCTGTCAGGGCTAGGTTTAAAAAATACAGATCTCAGAGCACCTGCCTGGCTCAATTGGTGGGGCATGTGACTCTTGATCTTGGGTTTGTGAGTTTAAGCTCCACCTTAGGCTTAGAGCTTACTTTAAAAAAAAAAATGCAGGGGCGCCTGGGTGGCTGAGTGGGTTAAAGCCTCTGTCTTCAGCTCAGGTCATGGTTCCAGGGTTCTGGGATCGAGCCCCACATCTGGTTCCATGCTCAACAGGGAGCCTGCTTCCCTTCCTCCCTCTCTGCCTGCCTCTATGCCTACTTGTGATCTCTGTCTGTCAAATAAATAAAATCTTTTTTTAAAATGCATGTCTTACCTTACCATTCCATTATTCAGAAACCTTCACATATCCCCCATTGTCTACCAAATACTTACTTTTGTTGTTCAATGTTTTCCTAAGGTAGCCAGAACATTTTGGTTTCATCCTTCCACCACACCTTCATACACTTTCCATTTTCCATATATTTGTGGATTTGAATCCCCGAGATGACCACATCTGTCCCACTCTTTTCCCCCCACTATTCTTAATTAAGGTATAATATAAACAATAGTAAAATCTACCCTTTTTAGCGTACTGTTCTACAGGTTGTGACAGATGCATATAGTTGTGTAAGCACCATGTCTATGAAGACATGAACAATCTATCATGCACACACATTCTGCCAAGCCTTCTGCAGTCAACCTTTTCCCTCACCTACAGTCCCTAGCAACCACTGACAGGCATTCTGTCCTACGGTTGTGTTTTTTTCCAGAATGACATATAAGTGGGATACCATAATCTTTGGTCTGGCTTCTTTTACTTTTCATAATGCATTTGAGGTTCATCCAAGTTCATTGTGTATATCACCATTTTATTCCTTTTTATTGCTTAGTATTTCATCATACGGCTGAACCACAATTAGTTCATCTATTCCTGACTTTAGGGGATATTTGGAGTGTTTCCGGTTTTCATCCCATCCCCCCATTCAACTCCTGCTTATCCTATAAAGGATGGCTCAACTATTTCCTCCCACCAGCTTTTTCCAGTACCTTCCATAATGCTCTGATCACACTATATTGCAGTTCATTTTAGTTGGTGTGCATGAGGGCAGGAGGGTGCAAGTTCATTAGTTCTCTCTGCGCCTCTGTCTCCCGTCAGCATCTGCGGAGCCTTCCACGTGGGTGCTCAAGCAGTAGTGGCTGAAATGGACATGCTGGATCCCTTTTTCCCCAGGGCATCACCTCCCTCCCTTCTCATCTGTAGATTCCAAGAGATTTGCTTTAAAAAGGATTCCATGCTGGGGCAGCCAGCTGGCTCAGCCCATGGAGCATGTGACTCTTGATCTCCGGGTTGTGAATTCGAGCCCCATGCTGGGTGCAGAGATTAGTTAAATATAAATCGGGGCACCTGGAGGGCTCAGTTGGTGAAGGGTCCAACTCTTGATCTCATCTCAGGTTTTTATCACAGGGTTATAAGTTCAAGCCTGCGTTGGCTCCACACTGGGCATGGAGCCTACTTTAAAATTAATTAATTAGGGGCACCTGGGTGGCTCAGTGGGTTAAAGCCTCTGCCTTCAGCTCAGGTCATGATCTCAGGGTCCTGGGATCGAGCCCCGCATTGGGCTCTCTGCTCAGCAGGGAGCTTGCATCCTCCTCTCTCTCTGCCTGCCTCTCTGCCTACTTGTGATCTCTGTCTGTCAAATAAATAAAATCTTTTAAAAAATAAATAAATTAATTAAAATCTTTTTAAAAAGGATTCTGTGGTTAAATAAGTTTGGAAAATATTATTTACTCCATCTCCCTCTTAAAGATTATACATCACTGACTAAAGGTTCTGAGAAATCATACAATAGAAAAACCTTTTTACCTTGGGTTCAACCCAGTATTTCTCAAATCTGTGTGAACCATGAAATATCTAAACACATCCTATGGAACTAATATTTCTGAAGAACACACTTTGGGAAATGATGCCAAAACTACTATAACTCAGTTACATTTCCTCTTGTCCAGCGCGGTCCCCAAGCGTACATTTGAATTTGATGGAATGAGACTTTTCTCTATTCATAGATGTTCCTGTACGCATTGGTATACAATTAAGCTACAGGTAATGGTAGTAAGAATGGAACCAAATAAACTCCCATCAAATTCATGCCTCTATACAAAATACAGTTCTTCATATGGAACCCTGCTATATAGCACAAGAGGGTGAAAATTAACCAAATAGCAAGATTTAATTCCTTTCCTTATAAGTGCATTTCTGAAATTCCCTTCCCTGCTTTCTTAGAAGTTTGATTTTAGAATTTTTACTGTAAGTGAGCCTTACAATTTTGAATTATAAAGTGTAAGGGATCGTCACCTAGTTTTATAGCTGGTCAGATTAAGACCCAAAGATATTACGCTTTGTTAAGGTATGTAGTCACAAGACTAGGCTTAGAACTGAAACCCTGGTTTTCCTAATTCCCATTTCAGTGCACTCTTCCTGATAATGCATGTGCTGGTGACTTCTTTTATTGATTCTGTAAAAGCATTAGTTTTGCTGAGCCTTGTGTACCCACTCAAAGATTTCTTCATCTTAACTTATACTGAAAGTTGTGCATATCTTTTTACTCTAAGTAAGGGACAAACTTTATTTTTTTTCTCCGGAAGCTTATCCATTGTAAATGCCTTTTTTTTTTTCCTCTCTCTCTCTGAGAACAATGCCAATATATCATCTATAAATAGATGACAACAATGCAACCCAAAGTCGCAGGTAAAATAATTCTTTGTCTGGATTTCCCTAGGGAAACCATGGAGTATATTTGTTTGAGAAAATACTTAAGGATAAAGTGGTTGGGCTAAGGAACATTGCAGAAAATTCAACATGTTGAATTAAACTGATTTTTAAAATGTCACTTAAGAACAGTTTGCTAACTTGTTACCAATGAACACATAAGAGGAAAATATGGCCTGAGCTCAGTTTGGCATTTTGATGACTCATTATACTCCCCCCTCCCCTTTTTTTGGTAGGTGGGGAAAAGTGGCAATGTACCAGCAGGCACTACGGTGGACAGCACCATCACACATCCATCCGAGTTCGACTTTTACCTCTGTAGTCATGCAGGAATTCAGGTAATTTGGAAACTGTTTCAGACCTTTGACTTGATGGGGAGATGTTTGCAAATGCAACAACTGGCTTGACTAGACTTGTTATTCAACACTGTGCATCACTTGTTAATTTAGTGCTTGTATTCCAGAACTGTTATCTTTTGGTCTGGGTATCTGCTTGTAGGTGTGCTAGGCAGGAATACTTCTGAATTTAAGGAGTGCATTTATTTCAGTTCTTCTCTCAGATAGCCAACCCGTGTCAGAAACGTGTTAATCATAAAAGTCTCTCTCCAGGGAACCAGCCGTCCTTCACATTACCAGGTCTTGTGGGATGACAACTGCTTCACCGCAGATGAGCTCCAGCTACTAACTTACCAGCTCTGTCACACCTATGTGCGGTGCACGCGCTCAGTCTCCATTCCAGCTCCTGCATATTATGCCCGGCTTGTAGCTTTCAGGGCACGGTATCATCTGGTGGATAAAGATCATGACAGGTAAGTTTCTCAGGCACAGTGGAATCTCTTTTTGTCTGAATTAACATGTTTAAAAAAATGAGCTACTATAGGAAACTTTTAGGAAGAGCTAAACTTCCTTTTAGGGCTTAAATTTCAAGAAGTGAATAAAATTGAATGTGCCTTTGAGAGCTTATAATGTGACTTTTGGTCCAAGAAGTGCTCAGGCTTGCTCATACTTGCATGGTGTGTCTTTCATCTGCCCAAGGAAAAGAGTCTAATTTGGAGCTGCCTGTGATTTTCCCATAGAGTGAAATGCATTCGGTTCTGTTCAGGTCCTGAGCAGTCTCAGAAGTGGCCCATACAGTGCCATGGCTCCAGTCAGAGCAGTCACAGACCCGTGGATTCTGCTTCACGCGAGGGAAAGTCCTGCACCGTTCACTTTGTTTTCAGTACAGTTCGGAAGAATGCACCAGAGTGAATCTGGGGCATGTGTGTGGCAGAGGAGAGGTGCCAGGACCATTTTCACCCCCAAATAGGGATCTCAGAAGCATCAGACATTTTGACCTGTTACTGAGCACTGTTAAATAGCAGAATAAGCTTCCTGCATTAATTTCCTTTTCCAAATGACCATCTGTGAAGAGTAGCAGTTTCTGGGCTCTTCCCCAAGTCTGAATTCAGCTGCTAAATAGTAGACATTCCATTGCAAGTCTATTTCTGTAAGGGTTGAAAATACGCTATGAAGAAAAATGCCCAGCTGTGGCTTTATACCTTCCATTCTGTAATATACATTCATTCATTCAACACATTTATTAGGTATTGACTGTGTGCCCAGCACTGTGCTAGGTACTAAAATTACTAAGATGAGGAAGACATGTTTCCTGGGATTTTCTTTTTCAGTATGGCAGACAATAGAGGCAAACAGAGCACTGACAATTAGCCCAAGGCAGTATAGGTGAAAGTGCAGTGGGACTTCAGAAGAAAGGTTGTTAGAGAAGATCTCACTGCTGGGTGGGTGGGATTTGGCTCTAGAAAGAAGAGAAAAGGATTTTCCAGGCAGAGGGGAACAATGGATATAAAGAGAAAGCAAGGGATATGTTTAGACAATAGCAAGTTTTCTTTGGCTGGAGTGTATGAAAGGGGAACAGCAGGCACGAAGCTGGAAAAGTATGTTAGAGCAGGTTTTCTTTGTTAAATGTGAAAGGCTACTTTGGGGATAAAACAGCCCTTAACTGTTAATTGGGCATGAGTGGGAGAAGAGGATAAAGTTAAAGATGACTAAGATGGTGAGCTTAGATGGTAAGGGCAATAATAATTTAATTAGTAAAATAATTAAATAGCTAAAGTAATAATTTAAGTCGGGAGAGGTTTGGTGATTTACAGTTTAACTAGCCCTTTATATCCTATGGAACCCTTAAGAGGTATGTTCAGAAGTTGTTACTATTATCATAAAAGACCAAAGTTTGAAGGAGTTGTTACTTCTTCAAGGTCATGTAGCTAGTGAGAAAACGAGAAGAGATTCCTGGCACAGTAACATTTGCACAGCAACATAGTATGCTCCAGCATTATACTAGGCTGAGGAATTCATTCAACAAATGGTTATTGAGACTATATTACGTGTGGGCACCAGGGGTTCAGTGGTGAGTAAGATAGTCACAGCATTCTTTGAGTTTACATTTCCTGGGGGGAATGTATAACTATCCAATTAATAATTTAATTTCAACAATTAATCTTAGAACACTGAAAAAATAAAATAAAATTTTTAAAAAATTTAATTTCAATCGTGTTTAGTACCATGAAAGAAAAGTAGAGGATTCTGTGAAAGTATGTTTCAGGTGCCTCTGACCTGAACTTTGGAAGTGAAAGATTCCTTTGGGGGAAATGACATTTTGACTGAATCCTAAAGGACAAGTAAGCATTAGCCAGACGTAGTAGGCAGTGGGAGTCCTAACATAAGCACTGTTAAGGATTTGGGTCTTTGGAGACATTGTTCTATTTAATTATTGCAACAGCCCATTCAGTAAATTGTATGTATTTTTCAGTTGAGTGAACTCATGTTAGAGAGACACAACAAATTATTTAAGGAGCCACAGCTTGAGCCTAAGGTCTTCTTGAATCCAGGAGTATTTGTGCTATTTGAAACATGTGAAGTTTGAAGTGGTTTTTTGTTACACCTGGTTTTTTGCATTATTCTCTTTACAGCGCGGAAGGCAGTCATGTGTCAGGACAGAGCAATGGCCGGGATCCTCAGGCCTTGGCCAAGGCAGTACAGATCCACCATGATACCCAGCACACGATGTATTTTGCCTGAGAGTCTCAGAAAAAGAACTCAACCAATTTGGCACCCCATGCAGCCTCAAAATGTTTCAAATGCCTACCGCCTCTAGAGAGAGCCAAGTTGACTTCAGGTGGTCTTCTACGAGCAGCTCAGAATAGTTGCACTGAATCTCTACTTCGCAGCACTGTCTGATGCATCAACAAATTGAGCCATTTTTTAAAAGTAATAGATACTCATAGATTGTCTTTTCTGATGCACTGGACTGAATTTTTACCTCATCTTGCAAAGGCTGATCAGCCTGAACTTCCTTAAGGACTTCACAAGAAAGGTTTCTATGGAATATTTTACTCGTGGTGTTCACCGCATCCCTCTAGTCTTAGAAGATCACTCCTTGTTTTCTGTACTCATTGAGTGGGGTGTCTGCATAAGTGGGAGAGAAAAACCAAACAATCTGCTTCAGTTCAGCGTTAACTTTTTAATTGTGTGGGTCCATAAACTTTTTAATGGAGATTTCTGACTTCGCCACTGTAAATGCCTTTAATGAGCATTAATTTTGGAAAGTTTTACAGAGTTTTATTAGTTTTCCTACTTTATCTTCTTGATCTCTACAGACTCGTGCTGGTGCAAGTACAGGCTGCCAGGCAATTGCACTATATTTGGCTGCAAATTCAGACCAGCAGCTCTCTGATTTGGTTGGCTTTTGTGAATGTGTAGCACAAACAGATGTAATCCATGTCACAGTGACAGATGACACTGCCATGGTAAAAGTACTCATGTTTCCCCCTCTTGGAAAAAAAAATTAGCTTTTAGTATTTTTCAAAGTTTTCAAAAGTGCCCATTTTATGCTGCTGTGTGGTTTGTTAGATCTAAATGGTTTTTAAACTTTTCTCATAGAAAATTAACTTTGGCAATAAGCATTTTTTAAGGTCCCTTCTCTTCCTCCCCCAACTGTGTAGTTTTCTAGATGAGATTTCGGTATGATTTTATCAGCTATTTCTTATAGATCATAATGTGGCAATTTCTGAAACTGGTCAGAAAAGATATATTTCCATGACTTTTTAAAGAATTATTTTTATCTGTTTTGTAGTCACCATTGGTGTCCTGTCACTTTGTTTTAAAATAAGCTAGAACCAGGATGCTTCCTTATCAGATAGGCTTTGCCAGTCCTTAAGGTACATTGAGCGATGCTGCGACCTGCACAGATGTACCAGCATTTAAAACTTCTTTTCCCGGGAATCAAGGTTACTCACACAGTCATGTGCGGTGCAAATTTTTTTGTTTCTCTTTCAACCTGAAATGTACTTGGTGGGGTTTCCTTCCTTTCACTAGACTAAAACTGCATAGAAAAGGTTGATCTTTCTTAATAGATTCTAGATCCCGCTCACAAGGAGACGGGTTCCTTTCTTGTCCAAACAAGGGAAGCTGATCTAAAGCAAGCACCAGTGAAAGTGTAGGGAAAAAACACATTTTGTATTTAGTGTAGATAACACTTTGTGAATGGACAACAGTTACATAGAGTCTTGGTAGTTCCAGCCAGTGTTTCCCAGCCCAGATTTTACTGACATGTGATTCTCTATCCTGGAACCTCAGAAGTGAGAGTTAGGGAAGGGGGTAAAATCCCCAGAGCCACAGTCCCTATGGCTGAGGAAGGTGCTGAGGGAAGAGACAGACACAATGTGGGAAAACGGTTTTGCCCTCTCTGCCTGGACACTGCTGGTGGGAAAACACTGGATCTGATGGTGAAGGGTGTTTGCTTGAACTCATTAGCCGGTCCAAATCTCTTAAACTAGCCTTCTCAAAATCCCAGCAATACAAAGCACTGTTTTTTCTTCAGTCTTTTAAAGAAGCTTGTAAATACATTGAAGTTTACATTTCCATGTGCTGTTGGTCAGCGGCGCCAACCCGTCTTTGCTGAGACTGGTCTCTAAGAGTTTTATAATGTATATTGTGTCCTGTAGCTCATTAAGATGACTGCAGACATCCTTATTCTCTGCATATATTGGGATGAAAGCAAGCTCTGTAATTGAGGCACAACACAGGCAGGAGTGAAGAGATGGCAGATGTTAATTTCTTATGATTTTCCTTTTCTGCAAATACCTCACTTGGATACTACAGATCAGGACATGTTGGCGAGGGGCCGGCTGCTACTTTTATTCACGCTTGTTCAGGGAGAGCTCAGAAAAATAACCTTCAGCATGGCCACCCTGGACCCAAGAGGAAGAAAAACAGAAGCTTCTTTAGGAGAAGGAGGACTGACTGGCATCCAGGTTGTGAAGAACTCTTGGTGGCTGGCTGGCTGGCCAGCGGGCACCACACCTGCCCTTGAGTGCCTCGGGCTTGCTTGTTAATGCACAGAAGTGTCACTTCTCATCATCTCCTGGCACATATGGAGCAGGAAGCGAGGTAGAGTGCCAGGAAGCCCTGAATCGCTTGCCGGCAGTTGGGCTATATGCTTGACCTTGAACTATACAGTTTGTACAACCTCAGTCAGTCCTACACACTGGGGCAAATCAGCGTGGTGGTGGAGGAAAAGCCGGGAGGCCTATTTTTATAGGAAACAGTACCTTTAAGGGGGGAGCAAATGCACTCATTTTGGATGAAAGGAAAGAAATATGGAAGAACTAGGATTATTGGGGAGAAAAAAAAACCTGCTAAGGGGGGTGAATCTTGAAGCGGTAATCACTACAGAATCAGAGTTGTGGCAATACTGTTGCAAGCAAGTCTGAATGCATAATTTCAATTTGGCTTGACGATTTGAATAGGATAGCCCCTGGGGACTGACTGAATCGTTATGCATGTGTCAATCAATGGGAGGTGTGCATTCTCTAGAAGTAGATTTAGGCTGTTTGTTTTTTTTTAATGCAGCCTGTTTAGGCACTGTCATGTGGTGTGAAAGATTGAAATGTAGCAATGCTAAAGAGTAACAATTAGGGGATAAGGAGCAGGGACCTCAGGAGAGTGGTGAAGATCCAAATGTTGAACCAGTAACATTTGTTAGCTGATGAAGCCTGAGTGGTTTCTAGAGTGAACTAGCTGGCTTAGTGCAGCCGGAGTCTGGGCAGGTAGAACATATTCATTCTTACTGTAAATTCTATTTGCTGCTTCCAAAGGTGATGATTTACAGGTTCTATATGGTCTATACTTTAGGATCTGGTGCCCAGCCTATGTCAGAGCTTCCCTACCTGGCTTAGCTCTCTATCCTTCCAGTGGGAAAAGGCAACCCACTGTTTAAGAAGGCTCACCCTCTCCGCCCTGCCCTTGTGACCCTTTGTGGATGTGCTATAAGATTTTCTTGCTCAATAGCAAGGTGGTAGCTCTGCTTTCATTTTAAGGAAGTGGAGGCTGAGGGCATTGTATCAATACTGCTTCAACTCCAAGGATTTTTCCTTATAAAATTAAAGGGATGATCTTATTATCAATTAACCATTTTCTTATCCCTCGCTATTGACATTCATGCTCTTTCTGTGTCTAGTGGCTGAAATGTTTGCATTTGTTCATTTGACTAATGGTGTAATTTTGGTTTCTATATTGTTAGATCTGTAATGTTTTAAAAATGTATTTTATTAACTTTGGACTGGATGTATGTCTCTAGCAATACGAGGTACTTTCTAAACTATTAAGGGAGGGGTGGTATCCCCATGTTGAGATAAGATGATGGTTGTCTAAATTTTGCAATTTTTTTTTTTTTTTTGGCCTGCAGGGATATTTTGTGTTCGTGTGTCCAAAAGAGAATAAACTGGCATTCTTGTGCCAAAAGTTGTTTTTCTTGTCAGTTGTCTAATACATATGGAGTATACTGTAATGGTAACATGCATGGTTGCTTTTAAAAAGTTTCCTCTATTTAAGAAATGTGAGAAAGAACAGAGAAGAAACTTTGTGTTTTTAACTCCTGGGTCTTCTTATCTTTAGAAATTGATATTTGGGGATTTTAGAAGAGTGTCTCAGCAAAATTTCACAAAGGAAAACTTTTATAAGATTCATCAAGGTTGGGGCGCCTGGGTGGCTCAGTCGGTTAAAGCCTCTGCCTTCAGCTCAGGTCATGATCCCAAGGTCCTGGGATGGAGCCCCACATCAGGCTCTCTGCTCTGCAGGGAGCCTGCTTCCTCCTCTCTCTCTCTCTGCCTGCCTCTCTGCCTACTTGTGATCTCTGTCTGTTAAATAAATAAATAAAATCTTAAAAAAAAAAAAAAAGATTCATTGGGGTTCTGGGTATAGCTCTTAATGGGAAGATCTATTTAAGTGAAGTTTTGAGAAAAATCTGCAGTCTCCAGAGGGCAGTATGGCCCACATACTTTAAGACTGACTTCTCCAGGGTACCTGGGTGGCTCAGTGGGTTAAAGCCTCTGTCTTCGGCTCATGTCATGATACCAGGGTCCTGGGATGGAGCCCCACATCGGGCTCTCTGCTCAGCAGGGAGCCTGCTTCCTCCTCTCTCTCTGCCTGCCTCTCTGCCTACTTGTGATCTCTATCTGTCAAATAAATAAATAAAATCTTTAAAAAAAAAAAAAAAGAGTGACTTCTCCAGAGGAGCTCCCTAAATTCACCCAACCTGGGGCTATCCAGTCACAAGTCTTTAAAAAATTCTCACCACATTAGGGTGAGTCATGGCAGAAATAATGCAGAGATTTGCATGGTACGACACTTACGCTCAGGGAATTTATGGTTTACCAGAGAGCACGTTCTGCGTATAACTAACTTTACTACAGGTAGTTGGTTTTTCCATCCCTACAACATCCCTCTCTCTGTAGCTATCCACTGCCAAACATTTATCACAAACCCAATACATCCCAAGCTCTGCCTAGGTGCTGGGAACATAGAAGAATAAAATCCTTTTTTTTTTTTTAAGATTTTATTTATTTATTAGAATGAGAGCACAAGCAGGGGGAGCAGCAGGCGGAGGGAGCAGGCTCCCTACTGAGCAGAGAGCCCACTCGATCTAGGGACTCTGGGATCATGACCTGAGCTATAGGCAGATGCTGAACCGACTGAGCCACCCAGGTGTCCCAGAAGAGTAAAATCTTAATCCTTCAAAGAGTTCATTTGAATATGGCATGAGACGGGGAGGCAATGAGATTAGCATTACCTGAGTGCCAAGTATAACCGTCAATTTATATTGATGTCTTTAATCCCAGCAACAGTCCTTTGAGGTTGATAATAGTATCCCCTTTTTAAAGATGAGGAACCCACTTCAAAGAGGTTAAATCACAGTTTCCTAGAATTGAACCCAGGCCTATCTAATTATTACCCCCTGCGGTTGAGCACAAAATGATGGGAACTTAGAAAGGGAAACAACTCTGCTTGGGGAGTCAAGAAAGACTTTTTACAGTGGTGGTGAATTTGGGGATAGGTGAGCAGGAGTTTGCTGGGTTGACAAGAGAGGATAAAGGGTTGCTAAACACACTATTCCCTTATAGATTGTAGTAGATACAATTTTTGTCTATCCAAATGCCTTCCTTTATTTCTCCTTTGGGTGATTGATATCTCTTATGAGAATCTCATTTGTGTGTATGTGTTTCAGGTGAGTCTAAATGACCTTCCTACCTTGTTTCCCACAATGTGTGTTATGTTCATGCCCATCCTTGAATCAGTCACTGGGGGATGTGCACCAGCTGGTGTGTCCACTCCTTTGAGTATGTGTGTGTGTGGGGGGGTGTAGCCAGTAAGTAGGGGAGGCACAGACTGATCAGCACCATTACAAGCCACATGCCTCTCTTTCTCCATTTCTTGGCTCTGATTTCCTCTATGTTGACTTTATTCTCCAGAAGCTAGTGGCAAATATTTAAGGAGAAAAGTGACAAAGGCAGACAAGGAAAGTAGCAACTATATCACAAGTTGACTAGAGAAGAAAATAGATTAGTTTAACAAACATTTCTGGAGCTCCTATTATACAGTAGGGATCATACAGATGAAAGACACAAGTTCTGGCCATGGAAAGGTTCATTTGTAAACTTGGGGCCACACATGTAACAAGGTAGCTTTGAGAGTTAAGTGCCATGAGAAATATACACATGGAACCATGGGATCATTTTCCTAACCCAGATGGAGGATAAAGGAAGGCTTCTTGGAGGAAGTGATGACTGAACTGACCCATAAAGAATAAATATGAGTTTTATAAATTAACAAGGTGGAAGAAGGCATTCTAAGAATTCTTGTCATGGGCAAAGTCACAAAGAGAAAAAAGAGATCATGACTTATTTGGATGAATTATAAGTGATTTCAGTACTCTTAGATTATACAGGGTGAGGAAGGAAGAGGGGATGGTAAGGTTGGATGATAGAGGCAAGCACTAGTTCCTGAAAGGACAGGACTTAAATGGCACGCTAAGTAGGGGGGGGGGGTTAAAGTTTATCCACAGGTGCAAGGCTATAACACAGTCTGGTGTCTGTTATGCCAGCAGTAGTGCTGTGGATAGGTTGAAGCTGAAATTTTGCTGAAGGGGAGTTTTATTGTAATAGCCCAAGCAAAAGGGGATGGGGCTTGAACTTGAGCAGTGATAGTGCATTTGGAGACAAAGAATGAATACAAGAGATACTCAGAAAGTAGAAAAGGCAGAACTTGTTCAAAGTGGACATAGAGAGTGAGGGGAAGAAGGCATATTCCTTAGGACTCCCAGGTTTCTGGCGAGCATAGCCAGATATATAATAATGCCACTAACAGTATGAACACAGAAGAAGCAGCAGCAAATTTGTGATTTGTGGGAAGGAAGAAGTTAAGTTCAGTTTGGGACAAATTGGATTTGAAGGCAGGGCATGCAGTCTGGAGGAGAGTTTAGGAGCCATCCGTATACAGGTGGTGATGAAAACCATTCACACGTGTGTTCAGGGAGATTATTCAGGGCAAGAAGAAATGAGAAGTATGGATTCCCAGGAAAGACAAG